CTTAACACCATATAAACATGTGGCAAACATCAAAGGACCTCTTGTTAAATCCAGCTCTTTTGCTCTACTGAAATAATCAAGTTGTTCCTCGTGTGTTCGTGCTTTTAATGCCTCTCTCTGAAACAATGATAAACGCTGACAAGTGGCAAATTCGATTTCAACTTCTGATAAATTCTCAAGATTTGAGTTCTCCATTTTGCTGAATTGACACAGGTCATCTGTTTGGAAAGAAGAAGATAGCACTCTGAATTCTCTCAAGTAGGACTGGTCAACAAAGTATGGCTTAAAACATGGAATTATCGTTTCTTCATAATGGGACGTAATATGAAAGCGTTTTTCGCATTTAGCAAAACAATTCCACAAACCCATTTTAAATACAGTTTTCAAAGTTTCTATAAGTTGCATTTTTGTTTGACCATGAAATTTCGATTTGAACATATTCCTCTCGGGAATGAAAAAATTGGGACATCTTCCGATTTTTATCCAATGGGTTAAACGCAACAGGCACAACAAAAAGCAAACCACTATGTTGTTTGGACACCACAGTTCTGGGGCCGTCTCTTCAATGACCCAAAACATCAAAGTTTTTATAAAATATGAACAGAGTGAATTTTCTGGGTAGGTATCTATTTTTTCAATACATTCTTTCAGAACAATTTTGAAGAGACCATAGCATAAAAATTGTGTGTGGTTGAAGGCAAACACCAGCCTCTTTTCTGCTTTGTTAAACGACAGTCTCCATAGCAAATCGTTTTCCACGTCTTTAATTGGACCTAATGCGACGAGATGACATCCGTCTAACTCTATTTCTCTAACTATTTGTTTTGATGGCCAAAGTCTTGGTCTATCGACCCATTCCTTTGCTTGTGGAGGCCAAAATGGACACTCCAGTGAAAATGCCATATCGTGATCAGATGATACCCCAGTCACGGAAATACATGGACCGTGTATAAAGAAATTAGTATTCGGATCTTTGGTTCTCTCTATCCACCATTTTTTAAATCCATGACTAGAAACATAAGTACCAACTAAGGCAGATTGGATGCACTGAGCATGCTCCTCAAATGTATCCTCTCCGCTGTTTTGAAATTTAAGCAAAACGTAGCCTTCCTTCCAGTGACTAGACTCATGACTAATTACAAGAGTTAACTTTTTATCGGAATTATTTCCCTCTCTTGAATATAATTTTTCCATATTCGAATGAATAATGTTAATATCTTTTAGTACCTTCATATAATCACGATCAGTCTGCCCATGTCGGAATCCCTCGGCAATACTTCCTGTGCAGATTGTTTCCATATACGGATGGAAAATGGAAAGAGAATCCTTTCTTCTCATTTCGAATTCTTTGACATTTCTTCTCATTTGAATAGATTCCTCAAAACCAAGTTGTATATTAAGTTCATAATATAAACATTTGTTGTGTTGAATGCAATTTCCAAATTTATATTCCATTGTTAGTATTCGTTGACGATTTGAAAAGTCTTTACTTTAATTTTCCTTCTACATGTATATAGTTCAAGTACTCGTATTTTCAGAAAATTCATTTGTCGTTCGTGTATAAGCTGAATAACACATAAAAGAGGAAAACGTAAAAGAGCTATGGAAATGTATGAAATTCCCAGGGAATGTATCTATTAACCTTCCTCCTTTTTTGCAGATGTCTATGGCACGCCAAATTCACAAAAATTAGTTAAGCATAGTTTCACAGTTGGTTTACTATGTTGATTGACTGTAAACTACAGTTTACGGACCGTAAACTATAGTTAACGACTTTAATCTATATCTCGCATCTCTAAACCATTGTTAACACCTTTATAAATCTATACGTTTCACAAGTGTACACTATACTTAACACTGAAAACAATCATTCGCGATTGCAAAACATCATTTATCTGATAAATACGGTTTCACCATTTGTAAACTTTGGTTTACAAATGTAAACAATAGTTTCCAAATTTTAATTATAGTTACGATTGTGAACTATAGTTTAAATACATGTACATTGAAGGCATTGAATTCATAAAATTGTGATAAACATAGTTCAACATTTGAGAAACACAGTTTAGCGCCAGAATTTCTGACTTTGTACGGGAGATACACATAATTTTCTGTGAAACTATATTTCGTAACTCTAAAGTATAGTTTACGATCAAACCTAGCTGTAGTTAACAATTGTTTTGTCTGTAAGCCATTTTGATACGGTTATTTCTAGACACATGTAACAGCATGATAAGATTTTGCAATGCAACGATTATTTTCATTGGTACTTAAAAATTTATTTATTGTTGACATTGACAGTTACTTTTCTATCAATTTAAAGCAAATCTAGTTGGAAATAAAAAGAAAAACGATATCATAATTACTGGTTAAAATTTAATTCTTCTCTGAAAGAGAAAGAGAGAAAATACATGTTGACAGTTTGTAATCAATTTTTTCTTCATCAGCAATTATAAAATAAAATCATTGACAACTTAGATTTATCCCTGTCGTCTTTCCAGCTTTTTTCCGTTGATTAGACAAAGATGACTGAGCATTGCTGGTATCAAAGTAATTGGTGAAAGCTTGACTTATAAATGTAAGATTATTAAGAAGAGAAATTAGCCCAGTATCTGCCCATATGATGCAGGATTTGCTTTTCTTTTTTTTCTTTTTTTTGATAGAGAGCTTACATATAGAACACACATATAGAACATATAGTTTGCATCTCGCGAATGGTTCCGCGAGATTTCGAATTGAAAACTATCGTTAACAGTTAACTGGTGTTTAATTTCATAAACAATGTAAACAATAATTTATCTGATAAATATAGTTTCACTATTTGCGAAAATATGATAAACAAATCTTAACTATGGTTAAAAATTAGGGTTAGGACTCGAGTAAGGGTTAGGGCTAGGGCTACCCTTACCTTAAATGAAGATTATCGTTTACAAATAGGAATCTACATTTATCAGCAATATATCTATTGTTAACATTTATTAACAGACAAACTTAAATTAGCATTTGTAAACTATAATTAATACAACCGTTAAATATAGTATTACAGATGAAAACTGTAGTTAACAATAGATAAACCTAGTTTATCAACTGTTAAACTATATCTATCTAATTTTCGTGAATTTGGCGTGCCATAGATATCCTATTCCGGATTGAGGTCTTTTAATCGTTAAGTATAGACAAAGTCATGGATGCAAGACTTCAATCGCTATTAAAAAGAAATAATTCGTTCAAGTTTTTCCATACTTCACGATGGTTCATTATTGCAGAAGCCAGTTTCACAAATCGAAAGCTGGAAAATCCTAGGACTACTTTTATGCAATTTTCTAACAATTCATTAAGTACTTAGTCTTATCCCATGATCCCTGCACTTCGTCCAATTATAATAACAAAGTGCAAGAGATCATGGGATGACTCTTCATTAAGGCCCCTAGTAAATTTTTATGCATACCGATATATTAAGGATAACTAAGATTTAAAATAAATGTCTTGTATCAAATACTGTATTTGTTCATATTAATGCAAAATAGTATTTAACATAGGACAATTCTAAGTGCATATATTGAAGAAACGTTAGCTAATGGAAAGGAATGTATACAATGATAAGTTTTAATTTTCTGGTCTGTTATAAAAATCAATCACTTCTTGGCGACAGTTTTATTGCTTGCGATTAAATTGGGGCCTATATCAGGCAGGTAGTTTCAGCCCCCCTTTTCTTCAATAGTAATGTTTTATTGTTATTTTAGTATGTTTGTTTGTTGTTGTTTAACGTCCCTCTAGAGAATTGTTCACTCATATGGAGACGCCACCACTGCAAATTTAGACTTTTCTTCGAACAACTGATTTGGATTTGCAAAACATTACTAATAAATGTATTCTCATGTATGTAACTCTAAAACTGGTGACAGAAGGTTTCTTCACTTTATTTAAATTGCATTTGCCAAGTGCGTGGCCCGTGGCGCAGTGGTTAGAGCGTTTGCTCTAGAGTCGTGGAGTTAGGAGTGATCCTTACGTCACGGGTTCGAATCCCACTGTGGGACGTGGAGACCGGTCAATCGGATGACACCCTATAAACCGAGGTCCCGTTTCGTAGTAGGTGCTGGCACAAAAAAGAACACTCACTGCTCAGTGTCCCTAAGTGCCGAGTATAGGTCTAAATTTTCAGCCCTCAACCGGCTAGTGGTGGCGTCTCGATATGAGTGAAAAATTCTCGAAAGGGACGTTAAACAAACAAACAGAACAAGGTGTCTGCTACACAAAATCTTTTTAATGAATTACAATCACAATGAGATCTAAAAATAATGAATAGTGATCATGCTCTATAGTCCATTTTAACAAAAAAGTTTGAGCAGAGCCAACATGGACCTCTTAAACAGATGTAACGCATGGCCGTAGTTACCGGGTGGAGGGGAGAGTGTGCCCCCATACTTTTTATCGATATGTAGTATACTATAGAAAACATAATTTCTTCATGCTTGTGTCCCCGTCTGAGGATTTTTGGGGTTTTTTGTTTGTTTGTTTTTTTTTTTTTTTCTTGCCAAGGGATTTTTGCTCAGTAGTGCCCCCTCAACTGAAAATGTTTAGTTGTCCCCACTCCCAAAACTAATTTGCTGATCCCTGTGTCATGTTCTAAATTTTGAATTTACCGGGTGGGAATAAATACAAAATTTAGAACATGACAACTAGTATTTTTGTATTTAATCCCACTAGGTAAATTCAAAATTTTGAACATGACACCTAGATGAGATGGGGTCACGTGTCATGGAGGAGTAAGCATCCTAAAGACAAATATGATATTGACTTTTGCTTAGTACATTTTATATTGTGACGAGTAAATTCGTAAAAAAAATCAGTCTATCAATTGAGAAATAATAAAATCTACAGGTACAAGTAAATGTTCATATCTGCTTAGGCATAATTACCACCTGCACAGAAAAGGCATTTTCCCAAATTCATTCGAAATGTCTGATGAATTAAATTATGTATGTAAGCCGAAGTCCATTTTAATCAAGAAAAGGCTCAAATTTTGGACAGCATAACTGGGCATATTCCTGTATCAAATAAGCTCTACATATAGCTGATGTATAAGAACTTCTTCTTCCATAAGACTCTTTATAGTGATAGAGTGCCTCTTCAAATCGTCTCTCTTTCTCGTAGGATATGCCAAGAATGAGATGAGCCATCGGTAAGTCATCATGTGTGCAGACTTCAAAAACAACGTCTTCTAAATCAGTTAGTGCCTTTTTGGCATAGTTGTTTTGATCAAGGTGTTTTTGACACAAAAAGTTCAGAAAATGTAAGTATACAAGAGGATGAATTACCAAAGATGTTCTTTGAAACAAAATGTCAAATTGAAGTTCGCTGGGTGTGTTCTCCCTATTGGGCCTCTTCGTGAAGACATCTCTCTCAGTCCAAATGATCTCTTTCCGGATGATAATATCCATAGCCAAAAGTCCCTCACGCTTCTCCCGAAGAGAAGATCTTTGAACTGTTGGTGAAAATGCATACTCAGGAAGTACCTCGTGAAGTTTAGCTACTTCGGCATTGTTTATACCTGCATAGAATGTAAATTTTTTCAACCTCGTATTAATTTGTTGTATTATTTGAATAACTTGAGAGTATTTCTTAACACCGTATAAACACGTGGCTAACATCAATGGACCTCTTGTTAAATCCAGCTCTTTTGCCCTAGTGAAATAATCAACTTGTTTCTCAGGAGTCAGAGCTTTTAATGCCTCTCTCTGAAACAATGATAAACGCTGACAAGTGACAAATTCGGTTTCAAGTTCTGATAAATTCTCAAGATTTGGATTCTCCATTTTGCTGAATTGACACAAGTCATCTGTTAGGAAAGAAGAAGAAAGTACTCTGAATTCTCTCAAGTAGGACTGGTCAACAAAGTATGGCTTCAGACATGAAATGGTCGTATCTTTATGATGGGTCATAATATGAATGCGTTTCTCACATTTAGCAAAACAATTCCACAAACCCATATTAAACACATTTTTCAATGTTTCTATAAGTTGCATTTTTGTTTGACCGTAAACTTTCGATTTAAACATATTCCTCTCGGGAATGAAAAAATTGGGACATCTTTCGATTTTTATCCAATGGGTCAAACGCAACATGCACATCAAAAAACAAACAACTATGTTGTGTGGGCGCCAGAGTTCTGGAGCCGTCTCTTCAATGACCCAAAACATCAAAGTTTTTATAAAATATGAACAGAGTGAATTTTCTGGGTAGGTGTCTATTTTTTCAATACATTCTTTCAGAACAATTTTGAAGAGACCATAGCATAAAAATTGTGTTTGGTTGAACGCAAACATCAGCTTTTTTTCTGCTTTGTTAAACGACAGTCTCCATAGCAAATCGTTCTCCACGTCTTTAACTGGACCTAATGGGACGAGGTGACATCCGTCTAACTCTATTTCTCTAACTATTTGTTTTGATGGCCAAAGTCTTGGTCTATTGACCCATTCCTTTGCTTGTGGAGGCCAAAAAGGACATTCCAGTGAAAATGCCATGTCATGATCAGATGACACCCCAGTCACGGAAATACATGGACCGTGTATAAAGAAATTAGTATTCGGATCTTTGGTTCTCTTTATCCACCATTTTTTAAATCCATGGCTAGAAACATAAGTACCAACTAAGGCAGATTGGATGCACTGAGCATGCTCTTCAAATGTATCCTCTCCGCTGTTTTGAAATTTAAGCAAAACATAGCCTTCCTTCGCATAATTAGACTCATGGCTAATTACAAGAGTCAACTTTTTATCGGAATTATCACCCCCTCTTGAATATAATATTTCCAAATTCGAATAAATAATGTTAATATCCTTAAGTACCTTCATATAATCACGATCAGTCCGACCATGTCGGAATCCCTCGGCAACACTTCCGGTGCAGATTGTTTCGAGATATGGATGAAAAATGGAAAGGGAGTCCTTCCTTCTCACTTCGAATTCTTTGACATTTCTTCTCATTTGAATCGATTCCTCAAAACCAATTTGTATATTAAGTTCATTAAATAAACATTTGTTGTGATGGATACAATTTCCAAATCTATACTCCATTGTAATTATTCGTAGTCCTGAATTCAATTTTCCTTTCATATAATCTTCAAGTAATCATATTTTCAACAATAACAACAACAACAAACATCATACGTAGCTCTTGGTAAGCTGAATGTCACATAAAAGAGTAAAAAAGTAAACGAGCTTAGAAAATGTACGAAATTGGCCCAGTGAAAGCATCTATCAACCTTCCTCCATTTTTGCAGGTGTTCTATTCCCGGATTAAGTTTGTTTGAACAATCTTTAAGCAGACTTAGTCATAGATACAAGCAAGATCGATTTTAAATTGCTTTTAAAAGAGAGGATTTGTTTCAAGTTGTCCATACCTTATTGCAGAAGCCAGTTTCACAAACCGAAAGCTATGACAGGAAAATCCTGGGACTATTTTTAGGCCATTTTTAACGATTCAATAAGGCCCCGAGTAAGTGCATGCCGGTGTATGGTTTTTAAATAAATGTCTTGTATCAAATACTGTTAATACTTTGTCTTTAGTTCATAGCAGAACTAAAGAGTGTATCCTCAAATCGTCTTTCTCGTAGGATATGCCAAGAATGAGATGAGCCATCGGTAAGTCATCATATATGCAGACTTCGAAAACAACGTTGTTCAAATTCAATTTTTGTTGGGAGGGGGGGGTAGGGGGAGAGAGATGATTTGACTACTGCAGATCACTAAATGTTCGCGACATCTTATTTCCAAGAGAATTTAAAGCTAAGGATTCAGATATACACCATAAGCACTCAGGCCTGTAGAAGGCGGGGAAGGCCCACTTTTTCCTGAGTATTGAGTATACTATTTTGCGATAGTAAATTTTCCTTTAGATGCTGCCCCCTCTCCCTTTTGTTGCTGTAAGGTCGAGCACTGGCAAATTCCAGGATTTGGACAGTTAAATAGGGTATTTTTTTGTTCTTGTCAGATTATTTTGGGAAGCCCCCCCCCCTTTTTTTTTTTTGGACAGTTTAGAATATTTATTCAGCCAATTTGGGCCCGCAGTGGAGCATAAAGATGAACAAGTTTAGGTTTTGTTCTTTTTTTTTTTAACTCACCTGAGCTGAAAGCTCAAGTGAGCTTTTCTGATCACCCTTTGTCTGTCTTCCATCCGTCCGTCCGTCCGTTTGTAAACTTTTCACATTTTCAACTTCTTCTCAAGAACCACTGGGCCAATTTAACCAAACTTGGTACAAAGCATCCTTGGGTAAAGGAGAGTATAAATTATTGAAACGGAGGGCCAATCCCCCTTACAAGGGGAGATAATCAAGAAAAGACAAAAATAGGGTGGGGTCATTAAAAAATCTTGCAAGAACCACTGGGCCAGAAAAGCTGAAACTTATATGGAAGAATCCTTGGGTAGTGTAGATTTTAAATTGTTAAAATGGTGACCCTGGGAGTAGGGCGGAGCCACAATAGGAAATCCATTTTTTACATTGAAATATATAGAAAAAATCTTTAAAAATCTTCTTCGCAAGAACCACTGTGCCAGAAATGCTGGAACTTATGCGAAAGTATCCTGGGGTAGTGAAAATTCTAAACTATTGAAATTATGACCCCGGGGGTAAGGCGGGGCCACAATAGGGAATCAAAGATTTACATTCAAATATATAGAAAAAAATCTTTAAAAATCTTCTTCTCGAGAACCACTCGGCCAGAAAAGCTGAAACTTATGTGGATGCATTCTAGGTTAGTGTAGTCTCTAAATTATTAAAATTATGACCCCCAAAGGTAGGTCGGAGACACAATAGGGAATCCAATTTTTACATTGAAATATATAGGAAAAATCTTCAAAATCTTCTCCCCTAGAAACCACTGGGTCAAAATGACTGAAACTTATGTGGAAGCATCCTAGGGTAGTGTAGATTCTAAATTATTCAAATCATGAACCCCGGGATTAGGGCATGGCCACAATAGGGAATCCAATTTTTACATTGAAATATATAGAAAAAATCTTTAAAAATCTTCTTCTCAAGAACCACTATACCAGAAAGGCTGAAACTTATATGGAAGCATCCTTGGGTAGTGTAGATTCTAAATTATTCAAATCATGACCCCCGGGGGTAGGGCAGGGCCACAATAGGGAATCAAATGTTTACAATGAAATATATTGGGAAAATCTTTAAAAATCTTCTTCTCGAGAGCCACTTGGCCATAATTGCTGAAACTTATGTGGAAGCATCCTGGATAGTGTAAATTCTAAACTGTTAAAATCATGTCTCCCGAGGGTAGGGTTGGGCCACAATAATTATTATTACAAGGGAAAAATCAGCTGGTGAAGAACGGCAGGGTCAAATTAACTCAGGTGAGCGTTGTGGCCCATGGGCCTCTTGTTTGTTTGTTTTTTGCTTATAAGAATTTTTTTGAATGCAAACCAAGGCCTGGCCCAAGTTTGATTTGGATATCTCTAGAAACACAAGAACGATCTTAGTCAGAATCACTGACATAAAATGGTCAGATGCAGCATTTTCAGGTATCCAACTAATACTTTTATAGATGCACTACACATGTATTTGCAAGTACTTTTGGAGCCATTTTTATGTCCCCCGCTTTCACTGAAAGTGGGGGATATCTAAAATTTGGGTCCATCCGTCCGTCTGTCTGTCATTCTGTCTGTGTGTAACATTTTCGTTTCTGGACGATATCTCAAAAAGCTTTTTTGCAATGAAATTTTATCTCACAACTTCCTATGGCCTAAATAAGACCCCTATTGATTTTGAGGTCAAAAGGTCAAAGGTCATAAATTCATACATTCTGTCTGTTGTAACACTTTCGTTTCCAGGCGATATCTTAAAAAAACCTTGAGCCTTTGCAATGAAAATTTATATCGCAATTCTTTATGGAAAACAACTATTGATTTTGAGGTCAAAATATCAAGGACTTAAAATCATGCATTCTGTCTGTGTGTAACACTTTCGTTTCCTGGCGATAACTTTAAAAGCCTGTGAGCTTTTGGAATGAAATTTTATATCACAACTCCTCAAGGAGTCAAAAAGATTTCTATTGATTTTGAGGTCAAAAGGTCAAGGTCGGAAATTTATATATTGCAAAAATGGTTTCCAGATGATGATTTTAGCTGTATTTGAGCTTTTTCAATGAATTTAAATATCATAACTCCTGGTGACTAAAGACGACCCCTATTGATTTTAAGGTCAATAGGTCCATACAATGCAAAAAAATTGGTTTCCAGATGAAAACTTTAGTTTTATTTGAGCTTATATATATATATATATATATATATATATATATATATATATATATATATATATATAACTTCCAATGACTTAAAAAAGATCCCTTTTGAATTTTAGGTTCAGGTGAAAAAAAAATATCTTGCATAAAATGGTTTCCTTGAGATACCTCTAGATCTCTTTGAGGTTTTGCAATGAAATTTATACTTTTGTCAATATTACTTAAAAGAGACTTATATTGATTTTGAGGTCAAAAGGTCAAAGACCAAGATCAGAAATTAATATATTGCATACATAGTTTTCTCATGATAACTTTAGTTCTCCTTATGCTTTTTGCAATGAAATTTCAGGTCATGAATTTCTTTAACCAAAATAACGACCCGTTTACTTTAAGGCCAAATGCTAAAGATCTAAGGTTGACTTATTTCCCTTTCTCCATCTGCATATTTTTTTCAGTTCCCCCACCCTCTTCTTTTTTTTTCTTAAGCAGTTAAGCGAGGGACACAAATTCTCTGAATTAGTGTAACGTGCAAAGAGGCCGAGCTGGGGGTTCGGTGATGTCTTGTATCACCGAGGCGTTACACTCGAGATTCGTTAACCTGTTAACTCAGGTTTTTGTTGACCAAATACTATAAATTTATAACTTTAATACAAATACAAAGGGTTTTTTCTTGATTGGACAACCACTATCTGTGGTCAACGGGTATCTCCCGAAAGCAAATTTCTTTGATCCTGTCACCGCACGTACTTTGTCTCCTGGCACTACCCCCATATTTATGGTATGCCACCTCTCTCCCAAACCAAGTGACTGCTTTATTCAGGTCTTACATATTTTGTTAATACTAAAAGCTTAGATGTCTATCCCCCGCAACTGTTTGTCTTATTCAGAGCCCTGTTCAACAGAGCGAACGTTCGTGAGCGCTCGCCAAAATTCCTTATCCCTCCAACTGAAATGTTCGCGAACGCTCGCTCTGTTGAACAGGCCTCAGGTCTTTCAACAATATGCAGGAGAATAAAAGGCCAAGGTTGATCAACTCCGTCACCAGAGAGATATCTTGAGCACTATAATACAGCATGTAAAATCCTAGTGCAGTCCCACTACCACTTTCGACCTACTTAAACGATCGTGGAATTAATAATTTTTAGTGTTTGATGAAATATGGAGATAACGAACAGTATTCAAGCCCTGTCCATTCAAACAATACAAATCGGGAGCAGAGCGAACACGGACCTCCAAAAACATCAGAGGTGGCATCAGGTGCCATGGAGGAGTGAACATCCCGTATTTAAGAAATTAAACAGAAAGTATGTCCAACGTTTTGGGCGAAAATAAATGACAAACCAATTCCGTTTCATTAGTTTGTAGAAAGCTGAGAACAGACCTATTACCCTAAGCTAAACAAGAATCAAACTAAAGCATGAATTTTTACATCAGGTGAATCCCCCAAAGCATCAGATTAAGTACCCATAGATGCACTGCATGTGCAAGTTTTGTTTCGATTCCTCATTTGATTCCTCTAAAAATCACCTAAAATCCGACCCTTCACCTTTTTACAGACATGAAGTAGACAATGTGCAGCATCTCTAACCCCCCCCCCCCCCCCACACACACACACTTCATTGCAGGGGGATATACAAAGTTATTGCTTACATCCCCGAATCCTGTGACCTTATCCAAACTTAACTCACGGACAGGACTCACATCCAAATGTCATCAGCAAACATTGTATCAAGTACTATATCAAAATGTATCATGTTCAACAATCTCTCCATCACAGACGTATTTTTTATATTTGGATTTTTTTTATCTATCTGACCTTGACCCTGTCCAAATGATCTTGGCTTTTAAGTCATGACATCCCTTAAGTCACGACAGTGTATCAGTATGATCTGCCACAATTTCTTTATTACAATTTTTTTTTGTTTCATATCTGTGGTCAAATAATCTTTATGTAAGTCAAGGTAAATTTTTTATCATAACCTTTGTTTCAGTTCTGCAATTCAAAGTTAAAACCAAGACAAGAATTTTACTGTTGACCTTTGTGAGTGTCCAAATGATTGACACACCCTCAGACAATAAGCATCCTCTGATTCTAGCAGGAGCATATACAATATATTGCATTATGTACTAAGGTACTATCTTGGAATTCCAGGGGGTAATCTTTACCTTGTATAAATGAACTTCAGTCATGACACAAGAAAAGGTCATAATCAATGTTTCTGACAAATAAGAACTAACAATTCTCCATGAAAAGTTAGAGCTTGAACATGAAATGGAAGGGATTGACAAATGGACATTGTGATTCCTGAAGTAGCTAGATTCTTAGTAGCTGATACCTAAAATTAAAACCCTAGCTGTGTAATACAGATTTATTGTATTACTGGCTGTAGAATGACAGTAGTGCTCATACAGGGCTTTTTACAAGGGAAGTAATTATTCATTAAATCATTGGACCAGTCAATATATACTAGAAATGGGTAACTGCTCATCTCATTATAGACCCTCACCAACCTACCTTGATAAATTTAATCATGAAAAAAAGGACTATGCAACAAGAGGGTTGTAACACAGTTTCTTCAGCACTCGTCAAGTCGTGTAACAACCTTTACTTAACACTGCCTTAGAATAAAGTAGGAAATGAGTGTTGAAACTTGGTTTGTATCAAACAAACCAATTTTGTTATCAAAGTAAAATGATACAAAAAAAAAATTCATTCACTTCTGGGATTTTTTTTTTTAATTGAGTGTTCCAGACCAAGAACAACTTTTCATCCACTGCATTACAATGTCCTGCTTTTGCAGATGAATTTAGAATTCAAACATACTTTCTTATGTAACATCAAACTTCTGAAAGTTGAAAAATTTTCTGTTTTACATAGAACACTGATAAACCACTGACAGACATTCAGTGACTACAGGGCGTATTCTTTGTTGCCTTTTCTTCAATGTCTCCTCCTGCACAAGTTCGATAACTTAGATCTGACCAGCAGATTTCAGTAAATCAGTTATCACACCCCTCCTGCTCCTCTGAGTAGATTGTAATCTGCGTACTGTAAATAAGTCACAACTGCTGACTTTGTGGAATATGATCCGAGCAGCTCTGGAGAGGAAATTCCATCTGAACTGGAATAATGAAACTTAGTTTAATCAAAAATGATAATACCAACCCTTCATGTGAAACATTTCATATTAGTGTCCTTTCTCTACATTGTCCTTTCTCTACATTTTTTCTTTTCCTTTCATTTCAAAACTTATTGTAGAAGAATATTAAAATTTAAATGATTTTGAACATTTATAAATCCTTTAAAAAATCAGAACAAGTAGACAAAACCTGACTCACTGTGAGCTGCTGCTGGCTACTCCCCGTCTGAGATCCCATACTCTTATGGTGCAGTCTAAACCTCCTGTAACCAACAGATATAGGCAAAGCATATAAAAAATAATACATCACTCAGGGTAGCATTCTCTCAACAAGTGATTAAAAACACACGAACTGTGTATTTGAATTAATGTATCCCTAGACATGTATATGCACTCTCATACTTCTTCATTGCAATGCATAATATGACCTAAGTTATTAAAGGAGAAATGAACCTAAACATCATAGATTGCAATTACATCAGTCAGAGTTCGGAAAAAATATTCTTGATCCATACTAAACTGTAGCTGGTTTTGATGGATTTGTATACAAATTTTTTTAATACACTTGTTCTAGCATTACCAGATGCCAGCATGCTGCTGTCCTTGCTAAAGGTTAGGGAGTGTATCATGTCTGTATGTCCTTTTAGTTCTTTATATAGCTGCCCTGAACTCAAGTCCCACACTCTTATTCTTTTATCTTCACCTATCAGAAAGATTTAAAATCCAAAATGACAATGAGCAATAAATGAGAACAAGCTTTAGACAAATGGAAGGCTATTTATATTTGACAATACAGAAAGAGATCTATGAACAGATTCATGACAGTTGGGACTGGCATTGTTTTCCTCCTCAAACTAGTATTCTGAAATAAACTGCTGCTACAAATAATGATCTTAGCCAGTACCTGCTGATGCCAGGAAGCTTCCATTGGGTGAGAAGGCAACAGCCATGATAGATCCTCTGTGGCCATGCAGCAATCTAACTGCCTTCCCGTCCTGCAGTGTCCAAAGCCTGACTGACCGGTCAGAGGAACCAGTGGCCAAATAATTACAGTTAGGGTGGAATTTAACACACTACAGAAAGCAAGTGTAAAAACACTCTATAATTCTAAACTAGTATGTCTTGCATCGATGGCCTGAAATCAATCCCCCCCCCCCTCCCAGATATACATTTTGTGAAAATCTTTCTTAACTATGCATTACATACACGTAAGTACTATGGCATCATAATTTTGTGGGGGACCAATGTTCATGGATCTTGTGGGTTACTCTTACCCACTCATTTACACCCCCAAGAATGATAACTTTGTCAATGTATCAGTGCATTGAATTATTTGTATATATGAGTTACCAATAAAGTAAGTCCCCACGAACCAGAAAAATTTTGCTTGCCCATGCATATTGACCACAAGAAACTAGAATGATTCCAAAGTAATTGCATAAAATGCAACATACTTTTTAAAGCAAATGTAACAAGACAGTGAAAATTGAAAACATTTACTCACATCTACATCAAGATTATGTCCAGCAAAGGTCCTTACTGGATAGATGCGGTCACTGACCCAGAGTTTGGCTGTGCGGTCCTGTGAACAGCTTGCAAAGTAACCACCTATGCTACTATGAAAGAAATATCAACATTCACTTTCTTTTAAATTTTCACAGACTAGATGTGTCAGTGTGATATGAAGTCAGTGTGACATGAATAACCCGCTCATGTGTGATATTTAAATATAGTCAAAGGATGTGAAAATAACAAAGGGTGAAAATGAAAGGAAAAAATATAATACAAGTACAATATTGCTGCTTTTGTTTTCTTGAATCAGTTGAATTGCGGGTTTGTTCACCCAATTTTGTTCATTCCAGCTCATGGCCAAGGTAAAAGTTTTTCAAATGTATGTCAAACTCCAAGGTAAAACTCAAGAGGTAAAAAATGTTGGTACTGAAAGAAAGGTCTTGTCACAAAGAATATATCTGTGAAATATGAAAGCCCTAACACCAATGATTCAAAGGCTATGGGAGAGGTTAAAGTTTTATCTGACAAACAGACAGACCAAACACTACATTGTATATGCCCCTGAGACTTTGATTATGGAGCATAAAATCGGCACATTTAACTACAAGCACATCAAAAAAAAGTTTGGAACACTAACTATGAAGGAATGACAATGATTGGAACATTAACTATGAAGGAATGACAATGATTGGAACATTAAGTTTGAAGGAATGACAATAATGGAATGATGGTCAGAAAGGGGTAACACTATATGCCCTTGCTATTTTATGGTGGGGGTATATAGAGCAACTTAGAGTTGAGGACCTAACTTCCCTCCAGATAAAACAGTGATACACAGCAATCTTCAATATGCTTTGCAAAATGCTATAGATGCACAATATTTGGTGGAAATTGAATTTTCAACAAGTTAGCAAAGATTTGATTTAGCGCTTTCTGAATGTGCTTGATATGAGTTTAAATACAAAAGACATTTAGCGAATTACTTGATTTAGCTGAAGCTGCTTTCCTCTTCCTCGAAAGGTGCAATATAGAATACACAGCCATATTTAATACATTTACAGCGAGTCAAAGTTCACACAAAAATACTATATGATGGATAACTTTCACCAAAATTAAAGATATTCTTCACAGAATGCAACAACAATGAAGATTTTCATGTTTAAAATTTGTTCAATACCTTTGACTTCCTACCTTTGCTCTTGAGTTGAAATTTAATTACATATAAGCACCTAATGCACATGTTACTCTGTCAACAACTCAAGTCAATGTCAGGAAATAGATACAAATTTTACTAATAGCTAGCTGAAAACTGAGGCTGAATAACTCAGTCTTTCAATTTTCATCATGAAGTCCCAAAGTGTTCTAATAGTAAATTTAGAATTTCCCATTTCTGATAAATCATAAATCTGTAAATACACAAATTTCTCCTTCTAAGCCAAAGTTTCTACAATTCTGAAAAATTGCAAAATTTCAAACCTCAGATCTATTGAGAAAAGGGAAACTGACATGTAAAGTAATCAAAATGCAGCATGGCAACCTTGATAACTATAGGCATGGTATAGAATCAAAACAATAGGTGAGCATATGAAGACCATACTGTTTAACCTTATAAAGCTATTTAATTTTTTTTTTTTTAAAATTAAGAATTTTGGATCAAAGCAGGTTTTAAGAGAGACAAAGCCTTGGCCATTCAGCAATTTTCAAGTTGTCATGTGTAGACCTCTAAGGTCTGTCAAATGAATAATAAATATCCAGGAAATCTGTTTTATTGTATATCTGTACATATATCTGTTTATTTAAGGTACAGCTGATAATGCACTATTATATAAACATATTACAAATAAAATGTCATTAAAATAACATATAAATGTAAATGTATAAATTATGACAGCTCTTAATCAAGATTGTGCAGATTAGTGTATTTCCAATCCTATTTGCACTCTTTTCTTCTAAAGAGTATATATATATTTACCCCACATCTAGGTCCCACACTGGTGCATTGTGACCTCTGTAGCAGACCCTGTTTGTGTGTGTGCCTAGATCCCACAGCCGCACTAATGAAAGAAACATTTATCTGATTACGTACAGATTAATATGCAGTGCAAAGTCAAATTTTCTCAAATACATATTTAAAGTGCAAGTTCTTGAAACTTTTTAAAGATGTGTAAAAATGAACATAAAAAATTGAATATAATTTCCAGATAGAGCAAAGACTTATGAAGTTTTACCAGTAGCATCTTCTGAGGCAGACAGGAGGTACTTGGATTCATGAGAGAAGCAGGTCTTGTACACTGTACCACTGTGAGCTCTCAAGGTCACCGTCTCTGTGTACCGGGGTTTACTAAAAAATCAGTCATTTATTTACACATCTTAAACATAATATTGACACATCTTTACTCTGATTTTATTTCTCTCTTTAACCTTTTTTTCTTTCATTCTTTCAGATTTTTTGACTACAGCTATTAAAAGTATGGACTACATTATGGCTCTAAATTTTCATTAAAATTAATAATTATCTATGGACCATAAATATATACATTGCAACATGTTAGGGGTTCCACATTCCATGCCATTCGCGCATTTGTACTTATCATAAACAAAACTGCATGGTAAAAGAGGGGTAGCCCGGTAGGCCTGCTACCTTGACAAAGTTGACCAAGAAGGAAAAAAAAATGAAAATAGAGCTTGAAAAAGCAAATTTCATGACCAAATTTTACTTGGGGGATTAATTTGGTGGAGGAAGAAACAGGAGCTTGGCGAGACTCACACAGGGCTCGCGAAGGTTCTCCTCAACAGGTTTGTTGATACATGTTATCATTTCTCATATCTCCATCGCTTTCAAAGAAGCAGCGTAAAATCAACACCTATGACATATAAATATTATTGCCATTTAAAGTGCTAATTTTAATGTAACTGTCCTGAAAATATTTTTGACGTTTTGCCGCGATAATGCAAGATTTGGTGATTTTCCCTTCTTAGACCCCAATACATAAAACATCAATATTTGTAATTTTAATTCTTTAAAATTCATCTGCAAGCAGATTCACGATTAATTATTTATCGGAAAAGTTACAAAATTTTGCTTTTGAGAATTGCTTTCACCTCATATTCCATTATATTTGTAAACTCTACAGTTTAGGCACGTGTCACTCAGAATTCACGTGGTAAAAATAAACAGATCTACGATTGCTCCGGTTTCTACGACCCTTTGATTTCCGGCAGATTCTAATTACGTTAATTTTGTTTTAGGAGAGAATATTCATGTTTCTCAAACTGTCGACATCAACTTTATACCTCATTTCTTAATGATATATTGGGTAAATCTGACTGAAAAACACAAGTTTTGCAGCCATACTGTCACTTTAAATGCTTTAGAGACTATGATTTTCTTCATTTCTCAGTTTGTTATACCTGATCAAATTAATAAACAGACAACAGACACTAACTGGTCCAAATATTTGGACCCCTTATAGTTCAGTTATAAAATGCACTCTAATTCACCTAAAGTGCTCTAACGGTCAGCCAGACAAACACTCATACAGACATATGACCAGTGTGTCAAATTGGCATTGAAGGGAAAAGAGTTGACATATAAATACCTATATATCATCAGCTATGGCAACAGTATTCTGTGTATTAGTGCATATTTACCATTCCTCGATAATGTCCACATTCCAATAGTCAGCTGCTATATACAGTTTACATGGATCCACAGTTTGAGGGGTGGATTGAAGGAGACTTGGGGTGGTGCTCCACAGCTTGATGGAGGAGTCCTCAAATCCTGCACTCAGCAAAGTCTTATCAGGGGAGATGTCAACTGTACACAACCTTAAAATTATATTTTTTATTGTCAAAAGCTATTAAGAAATACATCTGTCGTATCAAAAAACAATATCAAATGCAATAAACTTGGTTTACATGAAATATCTAAAAGGGGAGGGGATACATCCTCTAAAGTTCTTTTTGTACTGAAAAATTAACAGATAATTTTTGATTCAAGATAAGTAACAACACCAATCTTTGCAAGAACTTTCAAACTGCAATATATGTATATCAACAATCAAAATAACTTCTAATTTTTAATTACTACATTTATACTACTCACCCTTGATAAGCATTAATGAATGTATAGAAACAAATGGAGGGTAGGCATGGAGGCCCCTCCCTCACATGTTTGATTGACAGCTGTAATGTTGCTAAGGCCTCACTATCCTCGGGATCTTCCTTTACCTCTCTAGATTCTTCCTTTGGTACATTCAGTCCCTCTGTCAGTTCCAGTCTCCCTTTTGTCTCCTCCTCAACTTTATAGCATAGATTATAGAAATATATAGACTACTCTTGGATAAAATTAGTGTATACTGCAAACAACACTGAAACAATATAATTGTTTGAAATACGGTTTAAGGGTTACTTTTGCAAAATGCAAAATTAGCAAGGGGGTGAGCATTAATTTTTATTGAAATGATACTTAAGCAAAATATCTAAAAATAAAACAATAACTTTTATATATGATAAATTGAAGCATACATATGCATATTTTTACATGTATAGCAATATCATGTAAAAACATTTCCTTGTTATATTTTATCCCTTGCAAACCAGGTAAATAATTTCCAAGATGAACAGGTAAATAATTTCCAAGATGAACAGGTAAATAATTTCCAAGATGGTTTTTTTTTCAGCTATCATAAGAAAATTTAGTATTTCATACAATTATCACATTAAAACAATTCTCTGATTATATCTTTCATTAAATTCATCTCATTTAAAGGCTTATATTACATGTACCTGTATTTTCCAGTTTAACATTTTGATTAAAAATCTGAAATATTGTGCTGTTGTCTTCATGCTAAAACAGAAAATAAAATATGAAAGCAGATGATAATTCAGTACATTCAATAATTTAAGTGTATCAAGATATGTTGGAATTCCAGTTTTCCTACCTTTAGATGTCTCAGAAGATACTCTAAGGCTCCTTCAGATAACCTGATCTTAAATTTATTCTCCCTAAAACACAAAACAATGGATGGGTCACTTCTAGTCTCGGGAAATAGTTCTGAAAGAGGGTTACTGGAATCTTATTAACTCCCTCAATGTTATACTTTTTAACTGTTTTATTATACCTTTACAAAAATAAAATCTATAGAGGATTACAGATAACTGGAAATTACATGTAGCTTTCGAAGCAGGGATTAGCTCATAGTCATTTGAGTAATGCACGTCAACCCAACACAGAAGTAAAATCTAGAGGATAATATGGATAACCACAAATTAGCTCACTTGACTTATGCATGGCAAAACAGGGATTTGTCCATTCACAGCAATTTCTAGGGAATTATTCACATCTAATAAACTAATTTTAAAAAGGAAAAAAATACATATATTTAACCTATCATCACTAACATTGTTTAGAGAAACAAATCTCATCCAAGATGATATCTACATCTACCTGAAATCTGTGGCCTCTAAACACCCCATGACATCCGTACTGTTGTACAGTTTGTGTATTGATTCCAGTGTCTGGCTGTAGGACTTCTCATTGTCAAACAACTTCACATGCTTACTGTAGAATCTATGTGCTATTTTCAAGGACCAAAAAAAAAAAATCAAATGAACTTTAGTTTCCTCTTAAAGGTGCATATTTATTCCATTTCTCCTAAGTTTTACTCTATTTCCCTTCAGTGAGATATTGTACATTTAAAGACAAAATGATTCAGCCTACAGAAATCAGGTCAGTGCTTTCTTTTCAAAGTAAACATTACCATAGTAATTAACATACCTGGAGTTTTATGACCATTACACAGTTGGTCTAGGTAAAGATGAACAAAAACAGGATAAAGCAAGGGCTGAAGCTGGCTTTTATATGGTTCACTTCCTTTGTTTATGTATGATTTCAACCTTAAGAAAACAAACACAATAGCAGTTCATGAAAAAAAAAAAATCTGTAGACATCTAGGATAAAGATCTTAAGATTCACTGACAAGCCATAACCCCCCCCCCCCCCCCCCTTTAAATGAAAAACCTTCAGGACTTTCAAAAAAAATATTGCTCTACTAGCAATCATTATTATAACCTTAAAAGTCATGGGAATCAATTTTTAAATTTCAATTACTTTACCTACATGCATGCTGAATACATAGTATTAATATGGAAATGAACACCAAGAGACATGCAACACTCAGAAGTGTGCAATGGCTGATTTTACAAGTACATGAATTAAGGTTCAAACAAGAGAAATAATAAAGTATACCTGGAGAACTGTTCATCACAAGCACTAGCATCCCCACTGAAGTTACTGAACGTCAGAAGATTGTCCACAGTTATCTCCCCATTGCTAGCATTCTTTACAGCCATATCACTGATATTCTGCACCCATTTAGATTCCTTTTTCTGTGAAGTTTCATTTTCCTTCAGAAATTGGGAAAAAACTTATTGTTGCTTAATAAACAGTGAAAAAGATAGATAATTACAGCAAAGTCAAGTAACTTTTTTAACATAATTTAATTACAAAAAAGTAAATTTTATATGACTTATGGAATTCCAAATACTAATTGGAATTCCACACATGACAGCTTAATGCAACTGCTTGTAGATAATATTACCTATTGTTGTTTTATCTGTTAAACATGCTTCAAAGAATAAAATGTGTAATATTGCTATCTTCAAGCATGCATATAAAAGAAAAATAATTTGTGATTTATTATATGTGTCTAATTTAATCAAAATAATGGTTAATGTTACCTAGCATTGGATCCCCCCCCCTCCATACCCCCCTTTTTGTTCTACTGGAAAATTTTGTTTTCATGAGGAAATAATCTCTATTCCCCCTTCCCTGTATAAAAAAAATTCCTGATCATCTCCTAATTTTTATTGTTGTTATATTGTTTTCTTTAAATATTCATATTAATTACTAGGGCTGTATCAATATATCAATATACGTATCGATATTCAAGAATGTATTGTATCGAAAAAATAATTTCCAATACTTATCGGGCAGGCAGTTTTTCTTATAATTCAGTGAAAAAGTTAGGAATTTCAATCACCAAAGAATATATTTACATGTTTTTAATTAAAACTGATCAATAATGATATAAACATTTAGGAGGTAGCACATAATAAATAACTATTACAAAATACATGGACAACTATATTTTAACATGTTTGTTTTACAGTCGTTAAAAGGTTTGAATTTGAAGTGTATTTTGTAATGACAACTGAGACAAGAACTTAGGAATGGGTTATAAAACACTCAGTTTTTATAAAATTTGTGCATTAAATGATTTACAAGACTTTTTTGATAGACTTGTTAAAGAATCCAATATATCGCATATCACTTTATAAAATATCGTATCGTATTGTATCGAAATTTTTTGCTCGATACACAGCCTATTAATTACAGATCATTTAAACTATGAATAGGCAAAATCATCTATATTTACAGTCTGTAAGCTGTGGCAGTAAGCAGCTGGATGTCGAATATAAAATTTCACGAGGCCGAAAAATTGTTTTAATGTGACCTTACAGACCCATTTTATTACAAATAATGATGAAATTGATCTTACTATAATTATAATCACACTTTACAACTGCTAATATTTTATAAATTGCCTCTGGTGACTGCAAAAAAAACAACTGAATTGTCCGTTTCGCTCGTCACGGTGCTTGCAACACTTACTAAATATTGCCTCCTTTTCAGATAGTGATGAACAGAAACATTTATCTGTTCATGTCTTACTCTCTTCATAACTTTTGCTGCATGTTTTCCAGGATTTCTCCCGAATTAATGAGACAGAGGAAAGTCGAACTTAAACGATAACATTAGAACTTCGAACCCGATATTTTTTATACAGGAACTGGACGGAATATTGGAAACTGAAGAAGATATAAAAATGCAGAAACATGGAGTAATTTTTAAAACAGAGAATAGTTAATTTTTGGTGTTTAGACGAAAAGGACATGCCCCTTCCAGTTTTTGAAAATATATATTTTAATATTTTCGATATACGGATGGAGTGGAGAAAATCATGAATCTTGACAAACAGCTTGCAATTTCACTTGTTATCATTTTTCGTGCGTAAATAATTTTGAAATCCAGATATGTGACTTCCTAAGACACAAACCAAAGTACTAGTAAAGTAAAAATCTTGAGATGCAAAGATTCGACTGCGGCATAATACTTAATACGTCATTCAAAAGAAGATCACTAGATTTTTGTCATGTTCATTCTAGAAAAATATAACTTGTGTACTTACATGTTTATACTTTAATTTGTTTAGTACAAGACAAAACTCCGAGATTATCAAGAGAGAGAGAGAGAGAGAGAGAATTCAATACATCTCGATCAATGATTCACAATAAAATAAATTTCCATATTATTTTTCACTAGTTTGAAGATCATATTTATTACTAAAAAAAAAAAAAAAGTTCTGACTAAGTATATCGTTAAATGTATTTTAAAAAATCATTTCTTTTTTTTTCTTTACTGACAACGTACTACAGTATTTGTAAAAATTGAAATGCATTAACAGTGAAGAATTGATTAATTTTTTTGTTCAGAAAGATTAAAGTACCTTATTTCTACCTGTTATGAATGGTTTAATATTATGTTAGTTTTGTAGTCTTTAAACAGTATTTGTTTTGCTATATAAACTCTCGTCATCTCGTCACTGAGCCTTTGCATTAATATTAGGTTCATTTCAATGATCGCTGTGCTTACGTCGTTCAAAGGGAGATCATTTGAGTACATCCAGAGTTACCTTATGCAAAATTTCCCAAGAATACAGCTAAGCATTTGAGAGAGAAGTATTAATCCGAGATTTCTAGAAGGTGGTGGTGGGATAATCTATGAAAAAGTTACTTACAAACAGAAAACCTCTGCTTCTCTCGGGAAATAAAGGCTCATACACGCATATTTCTCACATACATGCATAGTACTGTAGATGCAACTTGTGCACCAAAAGAGCATCATCAAAATTGTAACTGAGTTAATTGTATGGAATCAAACTAGTTTCTAGATTGAAAGAACAAATCTTACTAGGTACATCTTGTCTATAGCTAGCACTCAAAGTAACTCTGACCTTGACGATTTTTCTCCCACATGAAAAGTCAAGACTCTCTTCTCACCTTTTACTTTGAAGCAAGTTTGAAACTAAATGGTCAAATATTTACATTTCCAACTGTTTTTTTCTTCCTTAAGATTCTTTGCAAATTAGAATAAGTTCATGTTCTCATGAACTACCATGGGATGAGTAAGAATATTTCCATTGTGATGTGGTAGAAGTAAAAAAAATAGTGCAAACTTTTTTTTTCCAAAATGATCGTTGAATGACAAAAATACGTGGCAAGTCATCAGAAAAATAATGTAAATATAAGATATGAATTTAATTTTTGAGAATTCATGAGTAACATGAACTACAACGCTTCACGCCTGCATATTTATCATGAAGCGCTAATATGCAGGCGTGAAGCGTCGTAGTTCATGTCCTCATGAATTCTCAAAAAATAAATTCATCTCTTAAATACTAGTAGTTCTCTACATACGTGTACGTATATATAGTTCACAACACTGTTCAGGACTCGTTAACAGTATCTTTGTCTTAAACTCTCAAAAGGAATAGACAGAGTTCTCTGGTCAACTACCGGTACATCTCTCTAGCAAGTTTGAAAGAACAAATTGTACTTTATACATCGTGCCAAGAACTCTCTGAAGGATTCATGTATAACTTTGACCTATGACTTTGTAATCCTCAAATGAAGAAGCGTATGTCTTTGGTCACTTATCATATCCGTATCATACAGGACGAACACTGTATAATGGAACAGTACGTACATACATGTATCATATTCATAACATTGGTAAAAAAAAATATGATACATATACCCTTAGGTTGACCCTCTTTTGACTCTGGAATAAATAGGCTGGTGTCCTTAATCTGACACCTACCACCTAAGATAGTACTCCAGATATTATATGTATAACATTGTTAATGTGGCCGTCACTTCATTCAATGTAGCAGTAACATAAAACTGACAAAAAGTGTGGCCTCATGTTTCTCTTGTCACCAAAATCTCTCTTAGACTGGGCAATAAAATGTAAAGTACATGTTCAGTAAAATATGTTACATATACATGTATAGTAGTGTTGTATCTTAATAGCATTTCTAAGTTGAAATATGTAAAGAAAAAAAATAAAATTTAAAGATTTATTTTAACGATACAATACTTTATTATATTTTTGTTCAAAATGATAAAAAACTATACATTGTATATAAAATTAATCATGCAACATACAGTCTTTCATTCATCACGTTTCATTAAAAACAACTCTAGCACCAATAATGATTACAGAATCTCCCTCTCTCTCTCTCTCTCTCTGCATGACTATCTCTTTCTCTCTCTCTCTTGAATGTCATAAATGGCAAGATGTTCCTCTACATTGCTCCATTTTCTCGATTATGTTTAAATACATTTTCTTATCATCTTCAGGTAAACTGATAGCCATATTCTTAAATTCATCTTCATCTGTGTCTAAGTTGTACATTTCTTGGAAATTCTGTCGAAAAAAAAAAGAGATGAAAGGAATAAATATGTCTGGTAAGGAAAACCTAAAATTTAACCGTAAGTCATGTAAGGCCTACTTCTGTAAGCTACCAAAACCTAAAATTCAACTATAAGTCATGTAAAGCCTAACTTGTAAGAATTTGATACCTAAAATTCAACCTTAAGGTATGTCACTCGTCAGCCTTTTAGAAAATTTCAGTCAGAACCTCATACTTAAAAACTATTTATTACAATTCAATCTTTATAACATATTTAAATCAAACAATGTAAAATGTTCAACATTCAATTAAAAAACTGCTCAAAAATTCACAAAGAAGCAAGATTTATAAGGGACTATTTCTTGTGGCGGAAGGATATTTAGCAGAAAATTCTGCAAATCTACACATTTATTAAATTTAATATCTTGGAACTTTAGCCTCATATTCTTTTACTCAGAGAATATTTTCCGTTATGATAAGCCTGGAATATTAAATATAGGTCTCAATTTATATTTTTATAACAAAATTTACACCTTCGCTCAACAAACATTGCCAAGAAATGAAGATATATTAAGGAAGTCGAGATAAAATTTACACAGTTTTTTGCCTGAAAATCGCATATTTTGACCAATATTTCAAAATTTACATCACTGACCCCAAATTTTTCTTTCATTATTTTAAACTACTCGATACTTTTGACCGAACAGCACTGAAGTCGTAAAAAGTTTGATAAAAGAAAATATATTCTATTGCCTATTTAGATTTTTAATACCCCAAATATGAGACTTTTTTAGTGTAAAAAGGTCACACAATAATTTACGCGCAATAATTTGCATGATTTGTTCAATGATAGATATTATTCAAACTATTTTACGTAAAATAAGATTATGTTTATTGTCATGGTTACATCTTATAAAATATGATAACGCTTAAAGTGATTAACCAAAGAGTTACAATTTAAGTGCAAAAAGGTCAACTTAATTGTACCGTAGCTCAGTTAGATGCACACTGACCCCCCATTTTCTCTGCTATTTTGAGTCATACTATATGAGTACTTATCCAAAATATACTTCTCAAAAAATCCTTGATATAACAAATTTCACGAGTGACATACCTTAAGTCATGAAAGGCCTCCACTAAGCTTTCAAAACCTAAATTTAAGGCCACCACTTGTAAGCTTACAAAACCTTAAGTTCAGCCATAAGTTATGTAAGGCCTACACTTGAAAGCATTCAAAACCTAAAATTCAAACGAAAGTCATGTAAGAACTACACTTGAAAGCATTCAAAACCTGAAATTCAACCGTACATTATGTTAGGCCTACACTTGTAAGCATTCAAAACCTAAAATTCAATCGTAAGTATATTAGACCTTCACTTGTAAGCATTCAAAACCTTAATTTCAACCGTAAGTTACATTGAGCCTACACTTGAAAGCATTCAAAACCTGAAATTCAACCGTAAGTAAGTTCGACATACACTTGTAAGCATTAAAAACCTAAGATTCAAACGTAAGTAAGGTAAGACCTACACTTGTAAGTATTCAGAACCTAAGATTCAACTGAAAGTTATGTAAGGCCTACTCTTGTAAGCATTCAAAATCTAAAATTCAACGATAAGTTAAGTTCGGGCTACTCTTGTAAGCATTCAAAACCTGAATTTTAACCGTAAGTATATTAGGCCTACACTTGTAAGCATTCAGAACCTAAGATTCAACTGAAAGTTATGTAAGGCCTATTCTTGTAAGCATTCAAAATCTAAAATTCAACGATAAGTTAAGTTTGGTCTACTCTTGTAAGCATTCAAAACCTGAAATTTAACCGTAAGTACATTAGGCCTACACTTGTAAGCATTCAAAACCTAAGATTCAAACGTAAGTTATGCTAGGTCTTCACTTCATTCAAAACCTGAAATTTAACCGTAATTATATTAGGCCTACACTTGCAAGCATTCAAAACCTAGAATTCAACTGTAAGTTATGTAAGGCCTCCATTTGTAAGCATTCAAAATCTAGGATTCAAACATAAGTTTTGTAAGGCCTACACTTGTAGGCATTCAAAACCTAAAATTCAACCGTAAGTCATGTAAAGCCTACACTTGTAAGCATTCAAAACCTAGATTCAAACGTAAGTTTTGTAAGGCCTACACTTGTAAGCATTCAAAGCCTAAAATTCAAACGTAAGTTGTGTAAGGCCTACTTGAAATCATTTCTTACATGCTGTATGTCTACAACATGCTATATAACAAAACCCTCAAACCTCACGCATCCAGATAAAATTTCCCTTTTTCTGCATGAACATAGAGATTTGTGAGTGTAATCATGATGTTAATAAATTGTATTACCTCATCATCTTTAAGTAGGCAGTATTTAACACGACGGCCTGGTTGACTAGGAGATACAGACGGTTCTCGTCTTATTACACAGGAATATGTGTTATTCCATGAATCTTCACAAACACAATGGTTGTTACAATTCTGAAAATGGAAAATTAATAATGGTGTAAATATATACATGGCTCCATCTTTTAATTATGGAACTCAGACAGGAAGCGGAGACACCAGCTGATTTTTGCGTACCGACATATTTTGATGTTTAAACTGTGGACAACCGGCTGTGTTTTCATGGTATTCTCCCTGGTGTTCTATCAGTATTGTTGACCGAGCCCAGGTTTTATTTGAACTACTAGAGAAGAAAGGTGTAAGAGACAATCCATCCATTTGGTCTGGAGTAGAGGGCACACCAGCTATATCTAGGAATGTCGGTGCCAAATCAATATTCATCACTTGTTCCTTGGACACAAAAAAATGAGGTCTTATATATCTCAAGCAGCATATCTTCAAAATTTTGCCCCAAATTTTCATATCATATATAAAATTTGATCTCATTTTAGAAGGTATTTTAGTAAAAGACTTTTCAATAGCAAACTATGAATCTATCATGTCAATTTTAATTACTATCGAATTTTTTTTATAAAAACTCCGGTTGGCTCCAAGCTCCCTCCCCCAACCGCCGGTATTTCTTACTTTTATCACTTGACCAGGGAATACACTGGGTCCTCGAATCATCAGCGGCACACGAACGTCAAATTCGTACAGCTGACGTTTGTCAGAAGGCATCGAAAACTGACCTAAGTATAAAAAGGATTTAATTAAATTTTTCTTAAAAGAATGACAAATTAACATTCAAAATATAGCAATACAAATTCTCACCTAAATGAAATCCATTGTCTGATGAGAAAATGATATATGTATTGTCCAGTAGATTTTTTTGTTGTAGAATATTGATAACATTTTCCATCATGTCGTCAACTGAGAGTAGTGTACGCCACCTACGGGTAGACAAAAGACGTAGGAATTGAACACATGCAACTATACCAAAAAGAAGACAAAAATCTCATGTTAATTACACTAACCAGCCGATCCTGCATTGGGGTCAGTTGCCCCCCACCCCATTTTCAGAGTTACTAAATTTAAATAGTAAAGTAACCCTCCCCCCCGAAAAAATTACTCTGGATTCCCATAACCCTAAAAAAAAAACCCTTGTTAATTGGTAAGAAGAATCATATATGATGAAAAAAGCTCTTGTCCATGAGAAGCGCCCCCCCCCTTCCTTCCCAACCCTTCTCTGTACGTTTAGCACGTTTAGACCGTTTTGGGTTGTTTTTTTATGCCCCCGGATCGAAAGATCCCGGGGGTATATTGTTTTTGTCCTGTCTGTCTGTTTGTCTGTTTGTCCGTTTGTCTGTTTGTCTGTCTGTCTGTTGTCAACTTTAACCTTGCCCATAACTTTTGATTGGTTGGAGCTATGACTTTCATATTTCACATGTGTATTCCTTGTGACAAGACCTTTCTTTGGGTACCATCATATTTGACCTTTTGACCTTGACCTTGGAGTTTGACCCACTTTTGCAAAATTTTATGAGACTTTAACCTTGGCCATAACTTCTGAACAGTTGGAGCTTGGGGTTTCAAACTTCACATGTGTATTCTTTGTGACAAGGCCTTCTTTTGGATACCTACCACTTTGACCTTTTGACCTTGACCTTGGACTTTGACCTACTTTTGAAAAACTTTAACCTTGGCCATAACGTTTGAACAGTTGGTGCTTAGGGTTTCAAACTTCACATGTGTATTCCTTGTGACAAGACCTTCCTCTGGATATCAACCACTTTGACCCTTTTGACCTTGACCTAGGAGTTTGACCTACTTTTGAAAAACTTTAACCTTGGCCATAACTTTTGAATGGTTGGAGCTAGGGCTTTCATACTTCACATATGTAATCCTTGTGACAAGACCTTCCTTTGAATACCAACGACTTTGACCTTTTGACCTTGACCTAGGAGTTTGACTTACTTTTGAAAAACTTTAACCTTGGCCATAATTTTTGAATGGTTGGTGCTAGGGCTTTCATACTTCACATATGTAATCCTTGTGACGAGATCTTCCTTTGGATACCAACCACTTTGACCCTTTGACCTTGACCTAGGAGTTTGACCTACTTTTGAAAAACTTTAACCTTGGCCATAATTTTTGAATGGTTGGTGCTAGGGCTTTCATACTTCACATATGTAATCCTTGTGACGAGATCTTCCTTTGGATACCAACCACTTTGACCCTTTGACCTTGACCTAGGAGTTTGACCTACTTTTGAAAAACTTTAACCTTGGCCATAACTTTTGAATGGTTGGTGCTAGGGCTTTCATACTTCACATATGTAATCCTTGTGACGAGATCTTCCTTTGGATACCAACCACTTTGACCTTGACCTTGACGTTTGACTTTTATTTAAAAAACTTTAACCTTCACCATAACTTTTGAACAGTTGTATCTAGGTCTTTCAAATTCCACAGGTGTTTTCCTCGAGACAAGATCTTTCTTTGGGTATCAACATTTTTTATCTTTTTGCCTGGATTTTGACTTGCATTTGAGAAACTTTAACCTTCGACATAAGCTGCCATACGGGGGCATAGCGTTTCACAAACACATCTTGTTTTTTCTTGTTAGAGAATTTCTGAATTGAATTTTTTCGGAAAATTTCCTTGATCCACCCTTTGAATTACCTGTTTCTGAATACATTGTCCTCCGTCTTTACAGTATCGTTCGGTAGAGGTGTTATTGCTTGTTGGATCAGCCAATGTTTGTCCTAAATAAGAATTAAAAAAAAAGATGCTCAAGGCCTAGGATTTAAGGACCCTCTATACACTAAAGAAAAATGTTTTTTTGGATATTGAGAAAATTTATCTTGGCATGTAGTAAAATGTTTAGAATGTTTGAATTGATTATAAAATATCCTGCAGATTCAACTTATTTTATTTTAAATCAGAGAGCAGATTACTTTAACTGCATAAAAACACCAAAGAATCAGAACTGTTCAGTTCGCATTGTATGGAGCGTTCTTAACCGTCATTTCAGCAATAAATCTAATACGAAATACATTATAAAATGATTATTCAAGATGGTTTGAACACATGTATCCAAAAAACACGAACACAATGCGCTATTTGGATTTTTTTCTCTGATCGGCCGACCATTGGCAAACCTAAGTTGATGGTGTAAAAAGATTGCGTTTTTGAGACTTGAGGGGAAAACCTACAATATTTTTTAATTCAACTTATAATTTTTCATATTACTTTCATAGGAAATTTAATATGAAATCATAAGATCTATTTAATAGAGGTATTTTTCAGATACACACAATTTCAGGCCCTGGTCCCAAATCGTCATCAAAATATCAAAATTTAATCTCTACTGCATTGCTTGGTTCAACTGAGATGAAGATTTAATATTACAACTAAACTGTGCAAGTTTAAAACTATACAATCATAAAGACTGAAATGTTCATATGAACCTATGTTTTTTGTAAATCGTTTGCATAATTGAACACTCACAAAACCACACGAAATAAAATGCAAAATTTTAAGTCAATAAGCATCATTTTTAAGAGTAAATACTTTTGTTTCACTACTTTAATTGGGAAATTCTATTACATATCCGTGTTTGTTATAACTGCCATCCCGTGGAGCCGTTTGGTTCGCAAAGTTATTTTGGTATTTGGGAGCTGGTGTAAATGGTCCATGACAGGCAGGGGTTGACAGCATCATGAAGAAAGGAGAGGAATTAGAGCTCTGTACGTCCAGAAATGATGTGGCATGTCTGTTCTGAAACAGGAAGAACGGTATATAAAATTATTAATTATAATATTTACTAAACTGAACTTTCCTGTGAATTGTTCCCACGAAAGACTGGACGATATAAATATTTTCTCTACAGTAAATGAAGCATATCCTATAAATAAGAAACTAAAAGCACTGCATTGGAAATTTATCACTACCATATACATGTAGCTACAAGAACAATCTTTCTTGCTGGATGTAATATTTAATGGGATTTTAATTTTTCAATATTTGTGCAATGTGGAAATGACCTATTTTAGAGATGTATACTAGAACTTAAAAAGACATCAATAAAATATTCTTTTTCTGAGTTACTTTTGTAGACTTCCAATGTGATATAAAATTTACAGTGACGTCAGTAGTCTTTTTCTGCGTTACTTTTATACACTTCCAGTGTGATATAAAACTTACAATGACGTTAGTAGTCTTTTTACGGGTCAGTTTTATAGACTTCCAGTGTGATGTAAAACTTACAATGACGTCAGTGGTCTTTTTACGGGTCAGTTTTATAGACTTCCAGTGTGATATAAAACTTACAATGACGTCAAAAGTCTTTTTCCGGGTCAGTGTTATAGACTTCCAGTGTGATATAAAACTTAAAATGATGTCAGTAGTCTTTTTCCGGGTCAGTTTTATAGACTTCCAGTGGGATGTAAAACTTACAATGACGTCAGTAACGTAGTCTTTTTCCGGGTCACTTTTATGGACTTCCAGTGTGGTATAAAACTTACAATGACGTCAGTAAAATAGTCTTTTTCCGGGTCACTTTTATGGACTTCCAGTGTGATATAAAACTTACAATGACGTCAGTAAAGTAGTCTTTTTCCGGGTCACTTTTATGGACTTCCACTGTGATATAAAACTTACAATGACGTCAGTAAAGTAGTCTTTTTCCGGGTCACTTTTATGGACTTCCAGTGAACCATTAACAGACAAGTGGTAGTTGTAATACTTGGAGTTTCCAACCTCAAAGAAAAGAATAACATTTTCATAATACACTGTACATTTATCATTCAAAATTTAAAATTCATATATTTTAAAATTTTAATATACAGATGTGTATTTTTACTTAGACTTCATATTTATATCAGATTCTTTATACTTACGAGCCCCATCCACCAGTCCCAACCAGGAGGGACGTGCTGAACCCCTCCCGCATTTGGCGTCCCATACTGAAAATAATACTTTGGTAAATTACTTTTTCATACTTTAAAATTTCGATTTAGTCCTCGATCAATAAAACTTCCCTAGGTCTTTTTTTTGAAAAAAAATTGGTTTAAAAGATTTTATCTAAGATATCATCAACGTAGAAAAATTAAGGGTACGATTAACATTATTTAGATAAGGCAACAAAGATTATTAATTGAAGTGGTGCGCTGAGCTGAATCTCTGTTCCTCTTTCGTTACCTGATTAAGGTACTTTCCCGCAAAGAATGTAGTGTAACCCTGCTTTTTAAGGTATGTCGGGAATGCTTTTACTTCCTGAGTTCGTTGCCAGTAAGGGCTGCTGCAGTTCCCCGCTAGAGAATTGTTTACAGCGCCATTACTGTGAACATATTTTCCTGTCAAGATGCTTGATCGACTTGGGCAGCAAAGGGGCGCACTCACATACTGTGGGATGTAAGTAAATGTTCATGTGTATTATTATAGGAAATCAAGTATTAAAAGTTTGTAACGTTTCATGAATTAATTTATTCCAATAACTTGAATAAAATCTTTTTAATGAAGTAAATCCCTACCATGTTCTCAAATATTATTCCTTTGTCTCCAACAAGATTCTTTGTTTTCGCCATTGGAGTCTACAATACATATATATATATCGTGGATTTTATTCACATAATTTCTCCACGTATTTCATACAGAACACATTTTAAACTGTATTTTCACATTCCTGGGCAACTAATTACGATCAAGTATACATTGTATAATGAAGTAAACTTTAATAATCAATTTCCATATCTTGAAAATTGTTCTATTCTATTTGTGGGTTTCGGTCAAGACTATAAGTTACTCAGGAATTAAAAGAAGCTTTATATTGAAGTTATACTCTCAGAATGTGTAAGCAATATGATAAGGGGACGAACATTTGATTCTGAGAAAAAAAGGGGGGCTGGCAATTTTTTTTTCGAGTCATATCATTTATTTTCGTACCAGTCAAGGACAGATAATTTACTTTCAAGATGTTCAAGGACATATTATTTATTTTCATCTTCACAAGGAAAAGGTTTGACAAGCCAAAAAAGGGGGAATGTCCAAACTCCAAAGTTCTATTTCGTGTGTGTGTTGGGGGGGGGGGGGGGGGGGGGTTGGCATCAGTCAAGGACAGATTATTCTTTTTTTGCCAGTTGGAGACAGATTATTGGTATTTATTTCCAAAATCTGCCAGCCCCCTCCCCCCCCCCCCCAAATCAAATGGTCGTCCCCTAGAGAAACAGAACAAAACTTGTTCGTTCTTTCGGTATTTGCCTTAAAATATTCATCGATACACCAAGATTCTATGTTGACGTAATGATACAAAATCTGGTACACAGTGGTATCGATTTACATGTACAATATAGCAAGAGTATCAGTATTTGATATCAATGCAGTTCGGTACAGGCCTACACTTACAGGGTGTTTTGAATAAAAGTAGCTGTCTTATTGAAGATGGGTGAAGATTTGGCATGAATAAAAACGCTGAGATGTTTTTGAACCCTTTTCAAAATATCCTCAGTATATCTAAAAAAAAAATTCATTTAAAGGTCCGTAATCTACAATAAGGCTGAGGTACATGAAACTGACACTGCATTCCAACACACTAAACAACTATCAACATCGCGCCGATTTACCAAGATATTTCGCCACACAATAAGTTTTGATTTTGGTCCTGCTTGTTAGTTAGCAAACAGTATTGTACCAAAACAGTATGTGTAATTTTGTCTTTTCAAAATTTGTTACCAAATATTGTATTTTTAATGATTAATAAATAAAATGGATACGAGAAGTTGATTTGGGTCGATAAGGAATTGGAGGGGTGTGGGGGTGAGGTGGAGGTTGCAATGGTCATTCACTTAATTGATAATCATGCATCAATAAACATGTACCTTCTGATATATGAAATATGAAGATAATGAACAGTATTCAAGCTCAAAAGTCCATTGAAACAATACACATAACATATTTAAAACTGACACACAATTCTAGTTTAGGAATCCAGTAAAGTTATGGTTATCTAAATTCAATTTGGTTGTTGGGAATATTAAAAAAAATATTTAAAACAGACATGTGATACTGAGTATAACATATTTAGCTTTAAAAAGTGGTGTGGTATCATTTGGTATAATTTGATACAACTTTCTTAAAGAAACCCAGATTTTAATCTGACCTGTCCCATATAAAGATATATTATCACCCTTGGTCAACAAGTAGTGATACATGGTTGTGTTTTTATAAGCAGTTTAAAGGGAACATCAATGCATTATCTTTATTTTCTTGAGACTTTATCTTAGCATATATCTCTATGCACTAAATTATCAGACAAGTCAAAATTAGCAAAGCGAAAGAATATATTTTCAATCTCACAAGTTCTGATAACAGTATGAAAATAAGGATTAGTATGCATTGAAGGAAATATGACCAAATGACCAATGTAAAGCTGTACTGTATTGTTGAGAACATGTTCGATTAATCTTAAGAATATTTAGGTTGATATAACTCTGCACATCTCTCAGAGGTCCGTAATGCATCAGAGATGTTTTTCAAATTTAGAAAGTAAATATTTGATTTTACTATTTTTATCCAGCATTGATTTCTTTATATATTTTACTCATTTTTATGCATTTTTAAAAAGTTTTAGTGACATCTTGTACATTTTAATTAGTATTTAGTCTAACTGTTAAGCGCCTTTATAGGGTAATTTTTATTATACAGGTATAGCGTGCTCTATAAATGTTTTATCAACTATCATATTATTATATGATGCAGACGACCTGAAATATAAAAAAACCAAACTGATGATTTTTTTTTTATGTTTCTGGTTTGCTCAGAGTTGCAGGTATAAATCATGTCGCTGATATGGCTACAAACAACTGACAAAGAAAAGTGTTGCAGAAGGAATGATAAAGGAACGTGCATGCAATTTTACCTGTCCCCCAAGTTTGACATCTTGATCGTCTGTCAATAGAAACACAATATTTGGTTTGCCAGTATTCCTAGCTGACACAGAGACATAGAAAACAAACAAGGCCAGGAATTTTGTTTTTAACATGGTTTTAGCCATTTTGTACAATCACATGATCAGAGGGACTCTTTCCAGACATAAAGTAGTATTTTATTAGAAACGTTATTTTTTCCTATAAAAATTGATTGACGAATCTCTGAAGAAATTATATGATTTACTTTCTTCACAATCTAGTATATTTTTATCTACAGACATTTGCCGTCTGAAAATATTGATATCTATGTAATTCACAGTTTGATATGGCCCATACATTTAAATAGTAACTCGTACGCTCTCCTTAAATTTTGGGTAAAATCTGAAAAGATTTATCACCACTATAATTACCCTGGTATTTTTCAGCTTTTCATTGGAACGAAAGCAAATAAAATAAGTTATCGGATATTTGGAACAAATAGTCTTAAAACGTTAGAATAAATAATGTCGTGATTCATATCCGAATACAATACGTACGTTTTATCTAACGAAATAAAAGTTTCTCGTCATGTGACGAGAAGGTGGTTTGAGAAAGGAAAATAAACAGATCACAAGGCAGCAACTGGTAGGTCATAGACAATGTGTTAACTTTGTATCGTTTAGAAAACGTACACATTTTCAATGCTTGTAATGAACAGCAAATGAACATGTGATTGTGAGTTGAAAATTATTATATTTTACATCTTGTCTGCTTGTACTGCATCATGTACATTTATCAATTAGGAAAATGGATTACAAACCAGATTGAAAAATCAGCTCGTAGATATGGGAATAACTTAAAATCTGAGACAACTTTACACAAGATGGCAGTAAAACCAACCGTGGAGAGAAGAACAGACTATCTCCTAGTGGAGACATGTTCTTTAGATGATCTTAAATCACCATTACGTGGATCTGCTAGATTAAAGGTAGTTCATTTAAAGATTCCATTAAAATTTTCTCTAAATTATACCTTTTTGGCAGTGTGTATGTATTTGTCAAATTAGATACCAGTATTCAGTAAAATCAAGCATATATAATGGATCATATAATAGATGTCATGACTATTTTTTCTATTGGGGCTTTTTAGTTGCTTGTTATATTCCAAAAATTAGCCTTTTATGTGTATTTATAATGATAACATGCCTTTTTTACATCCCAGTCTTCTGGCAGGCCACATTATAATATTTTCATCTGTTTGTCCATCTTATAAAGACATAAAACAGATCACCAACATTTCCTGAGAATGCAGCTGTAAATTTATTTAGTTGACCGGTTTCGACCAGAGAGGGTCGTCATCGAAACTGGTCAACTAAATAAATTTACAGCTGCATTCTCATGAAGTGTTGGTGATCTGTTTTATGTCTTTAAGTTTATAACTTTAGGTACAGACCCTTTTGAATACCGTTCAGTATCTACACAATTTAACCTCAAGGTGTTCGTTTCCAGTTTTTCTTTGTTTGTCCATCTGTTAGCTTTTTCATATCCAGGTGATATCTTTAAAATGTGAAACCTAGGACCATCAAACCTTAAAGTAATATGTCCTGTGGAACTTATCAGTAAGTATATATTTTGTCAGTTATTTTCTTAAATATCTTGTACATTGTGTTTATTTTCAGTATACCTGCTTTGATGTTTCCAGTCGGTATATTGCAGTGGGGAGTAATACAGGATCAGTGTATATCTTTGATAAAGTCAGTCTGCGACATCTCCAAGTTGTTTTTAGTGAAGCAGTAAGTCCATGAAAGTTCAGATTTACAACATAATCACACCCCTTACAGGCACCCTCTTGAACTATTCTTTATAATGATAACAAATTACGATATGTTTTTTAAAATTGTATTTTGTCTAGTTTTATGAGGAATTTATAAAAAAAACTCCAAATTCGTCAGAAAATATTTAATTTTTTTTTCCTGTAAGTTAATTAAAATAATATATTTTACTTACCTTTAACTACATATAAGCAATGCACCTCTTCCTTAGCTTATTTTTGTTTATCTAGTAGTTTCTTTTCATTTGCTAGATATATTTTATGGCAAAGTTATTCATTTAATTTGCAGGAACCTTCATCAGTCAACAATGTGAAGGTTTGTCCCACAAACAAAACAGTAGCCTTTTCCATGTTGTAAGTGTTGTCAGCAAATCATATGAGTTGGCTCAACAGTCATTGGAATTTAATTTAAAACATTTTATACACATAATTTGGCATGCTGCATATCATTGTAAGTAGCGTATAGCAACCTGCAGAGGACTGTACGCAAGTCATCTGTTAACTGTCGGAAATGTTTCAAAATAATATTGATACAAACATCTATTGATTGTCTTAACTTTATCCACAACCTTATTATATAGTTTAATGAAATACAGTCAAACATAATATCTTGTGCTTGGTTGCATAGGCTTACAAAAAAATAATGATATCCTAGGGTTTGGGATATTGCAGTAAATAGCCGGGGGGGGGGGGGGGGGGGGGAATTATGAAATATTCTTGGTAATCCATGTCTGAATCCAGTTGCATTTTGAATGAATTTATCAGAAATGGCCATGTTCAAGTCATGGAGATGAACATTGACAAGAGACAGAAGCCAGACAGGCTACGTGCCATTAACAACCACTTACAGCAGAGTGTGAGTTGTATTCAGTGGGATGCTGGGGGACAGAAACTGTACACAGCTGATAATGCCGGCAATGTGGTGGTTTCCCTTATTCCAACTTCAAAGGTAATCAGTTATTCTTTCTACAGTACTCAATGACTGATAATAAATATTGTAAGTAAATTGATTGTTAATCACTTGATAATTCCACAGTGATGATATCTTGAATTATGTCTTCTTCTGTGTGGGTACAGTGTAATATTGTATTGATTAAACAATATTAGATGAAGAACCTGGTCCTGGCTCCTATTGAGGTCATCCTGACCTTGTCTGTCCCAGTGATTCAGCTGGACCTGTACCAAGATAAACTCCTCGTCTCCACCCGCACAGAATGCTTCCTCTGTAACACAGCCAAGTAATTATACCTTTTTTGATTTTGCATGAAAGTATAAAAGTGAAAAGTAAAAAAAAGTTATGCATTCCTTTTGTAGCATACAGGTTTTTATGCATTTTACTCAAGACTCTGTATTCTGATCTATACTTAAATTTTAGAGCAAATTATCTGCAGATAGGAACAAAGCCAAGGTATGATTTTTCTTCAAGTGAACATTAAAAATACATGTAACTGGAAAATTCTTGAATATGTAATTCCAAGAAGAATGTTGATAAATCTTGGCATATTATTATGCAAAGATTATTCATGAAGATAAAAAACAAAGTATGGATTTGGAGTATTTCTTTCTGCAGAGATGGGTTATATGGAGGATGTTTTCTTCATGGTGGCAGCACTACAGCAGTTATCTACTGTGCCAGACCAGGCTCTAGGTTGTGGGAAGTAAGAAACTTAATCTGTGTTACGTACCTGTTAATTTGATAAATTTGACAATAGATGTAAGTTTCAAATATTTAACAAGTTCAATACTTCATAGAAGTATTCAGCCAGGGTAGCTCAGTGGTAGAGCACCTGACTAGTGATACAGGGGTCCTGAGTTTGGTTCCTAGTCCAGCTGTATATTTTCTTTATTCATTCCTCCTTTCCTACTATATTTGATGGAAGGTGTGTGTGTTGGGGGGGGGGGGGGGGGCTTGTTCAGGTTATATGTAAACTAGTAAGTCCTGGCAGGACCTGTGAACTTGTGTCTTTGAGGTCAAAGAGTGTTTAAGGATGGAGGAATTAAGGAGGGAGGAATGCAGGAGTTTGGGCTATATAGACTGTTCATACCAGCCTGGATAGCTCAGTAGTAGAGCACCTTACTAGTGATACAGGGGTCCCAGGTTCAATTCCTGGCTCCAGGATCATGAAACAGACTTAAGACTGAAGTCAAATTTTCAATCGCCTATAAAATCTTTATTAATTATTGAATTATTCCCTAAATTTGCAGATAACAAGACTTTTGTGAGGCAATATTCTAATTTTGGTCTGCTTGACTTCTATAACATTTTAGTGCAACATAAAGATTTTGATTAAAGCTTAAGATGTCTCATGATCCCGGAGCTTGGTCCAGCCATATATTTTCTTTACTCACTCCTCCTTTCCTACTATTGATTTAATGATTTACAATTACTTTATATCATTTTATTTCCTTCAACCCCAAAAAGAAAAATGTTATTGTTAAAAAGAAATGATGAATCATTGTGTCATATAAGTTTGTTAATGAAATCATATTCCAAAAGTACTTTAATTCAATGTACAGTTCTATATTTTCATTCCACTTCTACTTTCTTTCATTAGTGAAACAGAAACATGCTGTTACAGTTATAAACCTTATGAGAGAATAGATAGAAACTCTGACATGTTTATGCACAATGTGTGATTTATAACACTTTCAAGTAAAAAAAAAAAAAAACATTCAGTACTTATTCTAGTTTATTTCAGGAATCAATTTTTATTTTTGTACCTCTGCAGGCTTTTCCCTATGTAAAATTGGATTATTAGATGTGAATAATTCCCTAGAAATCACTGTGAATGGACTAATCCCCCATTTTGCCATACATTAGTCAAGTGAGCTTATCCATGTTTCGAAAGCTAATTCCTGGTTATCCGTAATTCTCTAGATTTTACATATTTATCAGTATAATAAAACGGTTAAAATGTATATCATTAAGGGAGTTGGCAAGATTCCGTTTCCCCTCAACCAGGGCTATTGCCCTCAGCTTTGCCTTGGAAATGTCCAAGGGGAACTGGAATCTTGCTATCTCCTTCAATGATATAGTTTAACTGTATAATAACTAACAAATGTTGAAGAAATTTCATTTCTTGTAAAAGTTAGCTAATCTGTAGCAGATAAAGTTCCATAATTGATGGCTGCACATTTCAGGTACACATAGAGGGTAATGTTCAGCATACTCATCAATTCAAACAGCTATTGGCAGTTCCTCCTACACATATCCTGTCACTCAGGTATACACAGCATAAAAAGAAAATTACAAATGTCATCTATTTTTGTAAATTTAAGAAATATTAGTGACGACCAAGGTAAGCAAATCCTTTTCTGTTTGCTTTGAAGCAAATTAAGTTTATAGCACTAATAGGTAGGTCCCTTCTCAAATGACCTCATCACAAGTAGTACTTTTTACACTGCTTAAAAATATATGATGATCATCACCAGAGAATAACAGAATTATTGGATCTTGTTTTTGATGATATTGCATTAGTACATGTAGCAGGGCAGTGTGTATAAACATGACATGTTTAAGAAGGTCTTGATATCAACTACATGTGTGTTTACATTAAAAAAGCTGTACATGTATTTATACATACATGTAATGTTCATACAGTAATTACAAAATGTATGAATTTTATAGAATTTTTTTCTTAAAATAAAGATTTTTGTTGTTTTTCAAAGCAACTGAAGAAATATATTTCATTGACATGGTTTTCAAGGTGAAGATGATTAATAAATTTGGAAGGGGGTGGGGACATACACATAGACATTGTAGAAAGAAAAAAACCCAAATACTACATTTTTGTAGCTTTTCAATGCAACAGATGAAAAATCTAATACTCTAAAGAGAAAAATAAGGTGGTTAACTATGAAAAAATGCCCAGAAATGTTTAATTTTGTATTAATTTTGAATTCTCCATTAAATATACTTTCCCCTTCAATTTTCATTTCTACCAATTTATGAATGAAAGTGACAAATTCTGAATTTCTAACATAATATCTGGTAAGTAAGTACATTTGATATGTGTTTTGCTTTAATAATGTATTCAGAACAGCCATCTATTGATTTTGGTTGAAATCGTGTGATGAGAGAAGGGGGAATAATAACCAGTCAAGACATGTATTTTTCAGATTTTAATTACCTAAGATGCTTTTCTAATGATTCCAAGAAAGAAAACATTACATTTATCAAGAAATTGTAAAGTAGGGACCTACCTTGATTGTTTTATGTTTAGCTCTGCAAATCAGTAAAAGCAAATTGATAGAATGTATGATCAATGTTTGATCATTAACCTTATTGTCTTAGTGGAGATGCCATCCTAAGAACAGAAAACAAAGAGTTTCCTCCCTTGGGGACAAATTTTCCAGTTTTGAAATCATATGGGTAAGTATTAGATTTAGAAAGACATAAATAGGATATCATCATGCATTGTTAATTGAAATGTTACTTTGAATAGAGGTTCAAGTATCTTTTTATCATAAAATATAACCTTTCTTTAATGGACATATGTATATATTTTTTAATTTTGCAGAGAAAAATTCATTTTAACATGGAACAAAAGAAAGCTATTCATACTTGATCCTTTGCAAGAAAATCCAAAAGTGATTCTCTGGACTGAATTTCAGACAGGTAATAATTAATGTAAAAAGTAGTTTTAAAGGAGTGCTGGTGATGAAGGATTTCAGATGACCTGCACAGTGATAATTGTAGAAAGTCGTATTAATATAATTATTTCTGCACTTAAGATGTTTGAATGAAGCAGATGATGATTTAAATAATAGTATAAATATGAGATATTCTATAGAATTTTCTTCAATTTCTATACTTAATAAATATAGGGAAAACAGTCAAGTAAACATATTCTAATATTTCAGAAATATATGAAGCATGTGTACAGGGATCAGAGTTGTATATATTTTTTGTGTCTGGAGAAATGCGCAAAGTGACCTTGATGACAGTCTCTCGGACAGTATCCCTGTTGGTCAGTCGTAAACTGTGGCAACTAGCTGCTCAGGTGTGTGGGACCTACAGCCAGTCCATCCTAGCCAATCAAAACCACAAAGAGCTGTCCAGAAATACACTCAAAAACCTCATACAGAGCATCCAAAATGGCTGCCTGACGGAATATGAGGAAAGAGTTGTTGACCTTTTGGAAAAATTTTCCACAGAAATAGCTTCCAGTTCAGAAACGGAAGGATCAGAATACAGTAGGAGTCGGTCCAGTTCTGGAGCTTCAATTATACGTCTGGAGTCTGGAATTTATCAGATTAAGAATTCCAAGAGTTCTGCTTCACTGGATTCATGGAACGAATCTGAGACATGGGATGAGCCAGACTCGGGGATATCATCCCCAGCAAAGTTACCATCTGTTGTTGTGTCTGTTTTAGATGTGGCTGATTCTGATAAAGATTTTAACTTCAACAATACATTTAAAACAGATCAGGAAGACACTGTTAGAAATAATGAAAGCGATGTACACTTAGAAAACAGTCCAAATAATTTTATATTACATGATGATATTGTAGTTAGTGATCTGTCTGACTTGGAACATTCCACATTTAATGGAGCAAACATTTCAGTGGTTGTCAATGGACAGTCAGATGTAGTCCATTCCACAATGAACAAAGAGGACCTTAATCGTCTGATCCATTCTGATGATATTTTTGCTGATGATGAAATTCTAGTGCCACGAGGACCCAGTAAACTTCCTAAAAGGAAATCAGAACCAAATAGTCTTTCAAGTGTAGATTGTTCTCATGAAAAATCAGTGCCAAAAGTGGACTTTGTTGTAAATGATGACGTGCCAAATAGATTGCTGAAGGAAGGGGTTTTTGATGTAGTTCCTCTACAAGACCAAGGTACATACTGAATTGACTTGAGCTTTTAGATATCTGCTCCTTTCTTCAGAATGACTGAGTGCAATATTGTGATACTACATGTATAAATTTATGTTCCTCTAATCGCCCGAAAGAATTTTTGTTATTTTTTGGTATGCATAGTCAATAAGATTAATAATTTTTACATACATAAACCACTGATAGTGATATTTTGATAATGAAATCAATTAATAAAAACTTAATGGCAGAGGAATCAAGTGAAATATATTTACGTGTATAGTAAGAATACTTAAAATTATCTTTTCCAGATTGATAAAAAAATCCCCTTTCATTTGTTTAGTTGATTGTTTTTTATTTGCAGTCAAGAAAGATTTATAAACTGTTTTGGTAATATCAATGTTTATCTCTGTAAGGATCACAAGATGGCCTTTTATTACAGATATTACCCCACTCATTGTGACAAGGTCTGAACCTAAGGGTCAGAAGAGGACCAGTACTCGTAGGAAAGCTGTTACTGTAGATATTGACGAAGGAAAGAAAAAGTCAGGAAAACAACACAGAAGGCACTCAAGTATGTAGAACATAGCAGTATATATTGTGTACAGGGTTATTTTTGCCTCCCAGTGATTTTTTGCCCAAACACACTTGCAAACACTTTTGCTCCATTTTAAATGTGCTCAAAAAACAGTTAGGCTAAAGAGATAACTCTGTCTTTTTTTATTTCGCCCCCGATTTAATTTGCTCACTTGAGGGTGAAAGGAGCGGATGAAAATTTTGCTATGTACACGGGTTCATAGAATGCATATGTGCAGAATGTTATGTAACTATGGAATATGATCACTAATTATAATTTAATTTTGGAATTTCTCTATTTTAGGGAATAAAGGGAAAGAAGCAGACTCAGGTAGTCAGTTATTGTTTAAATTTAATCATTTATATGCTAAATTATTTTTTCAATCATAAAAATTGTTAGACAAAAAATTTTGTGCATGATTTTCAGAAGTCAGAAGCCGAGGGCCTTCAGATACTTCATCCAACTTGATCTCAAATTCAGCGCCTCATGAACAATTAGATAACATTGCTGTTATCCAATCAAAACCTTCCACTCTTCAAAGAACCGAGAGCTGTCCTGCAATACCAGAGAAAAGTGGATTGATCCGGTCTTCTTCTGCTACAGATTTACATTCACCTTCCCAGTCTCCACTCACTCAGTCATGGGAAGAGCCCCAGGAGAGTAACAAAAGGACCTTGACCTCAGTGAAGGACAGGTGGGTTCCTCTCTGATTCCCAGATATTAACATGTAGAATGTTCAAGAACTTTGGTATGGAGATGTAACATTGAATTGATTTAAATTGATATTTATTACAATGAACATAAAAATTATCGCCCCCTGCATTCATGAAAGTTCAGGGACATTAAATCTCAATCGTTTGTCAGACTGTCACAAAAATTTGAAGTTTGACCTACTTCTGCCTGTTAACCTGTACCATAAACTCTTCAATGAGAGAAAAGATTAGGGCTTTTATATTTAACAATTGCATTACCTGTGACTTCTCTGAGTCTTTTATGATTTTTGACCTCATGACCTTGAAGTTTGATCATGGTTTTTCAGCTTACAGTCTAAGTTTGCAAACACAAAAATGAAAATTCTGAAAACAATTAAGGAGAAGAAAATGATGACATCATCACCAAAGGATACTAAAGAACCAAATCTACCCCAGGTCAGTGGTGTCAGACTTCACAAGTATTTTTTTATCAGTATTTATAACAATATTTCAAGTATGTAACTTAAATATATCTATTAGAAAAGATACTGATTTCAATCTTTATGAAGAAATTTCTATAATTTCAGGTGCATATACATGTACAGGTGTTGTTGCATTTGTTCATCATAAAAATATATTACCTCACAGTTTTGACCACTGTTGGTGATTCTTATTAATTTGATATTAAGGAAAGACTCTTTATCACAAAGTATACTTGCATTCATTATACATTTATTACACTATAAAGTGTTAGGTTCACAAAGGGCCATAATTGGCTGTAAAATATTTCAAACTTATCAATTTGTATATTTATTTTAAATGATGCTTAAAATGCCCGTGGGACCCATGATAACTACATATCTAATGAAATTGACATAAATTGACTTTAAAATTTAGGAAACACTAAACATTCCTGAAGAACAAGAATTGAAGGAAGACATTCCAATGATAGAACCAGAAAAAGAATCCTCTGTTGTAGATCTCACAGAATTTATCCAGAAAACTGTTCAAACTAGGTCAAAGATGCAGGATTTCAATGTTTTGCTCAATCCAGGTGCATTATGGGAGACACTGTCTGATTGGATGATACAACTGAATATTATTATGAAGAAATTAAATACCCATAAGTGTTTAAAACTACTACAATCTACACATTCTAAAAGGTGCAAAAGTCAATGGCTTGCTTCAAATAAAGAGATAACTGAAACTAGTGTGGTTGATCAAGACTGTGGCATTAATGATAGTGAAAATTCACAAATGGCTGAAAATGGACAAACTTTGGTTAGAAACAGTAGTGATGTGAACACTGAAAGTGATCTTCATTTAAATCCCAGCTTGATTATGAATGGTTATGAAAAAATCAAATTCAATGAATTATGTCACATAGAGGACCCATTTCCTTTTTCAGAAGACATGCTTGTCACTGTAAAACATTTGGCTGGAAAGTGTTTCAACTCCAAATGTATTCACAATGTTATTGATTCTGTTCAACCTGACCTTGGTGCTTTGTCATTCTGTGATATTTGTTCAGACTGCTATCAATATAATGAAACCAAACTCTCAGATACAACTTCTGTTCCCTTGTCTTCTAGTTTAAGTCAAGAAAACAAGGGAACATATTTTGATAACCAGTTCAGTGAAACAGAGGGCATTACATTTACTGTACCTGTTTCTAAAGAGACAGGGGCAAGGAACCTAGAACACAGCCATCACATACCCTGTGAAAATGTGATGATCAATATGTTAAACACAGAAAATGCCAATACAAGGAGAAGTAGTACACCAGTGGAATTTTGTGAATCACTTGAAAGAAGGGATTTGATTCGTGAAGATAATGAAGTGTACACAGTGATTAGAGAGAGTGACAGTGATTTGTCAGTGTTTGTCAGGTGCTATTTCTTTTTATTGGATAAAAATGATCTCATACAGCAAGTGTATTCAAGGGAGAGCACTCTGTCAGAGGATGAGAAGTTTGAAATATGGAAAGCATGGATGCAGAGTCTGCAAGGTTACAAAGATACATTTATCTTTCAGATTGTATGTTAATGAACATTTATCAACTTCTCAGACTTTTAAACTAATATTTTGTTGGTTTTTTTTCTTCAATATATTTTTAGTTAAATATAGAGAAGATTCATTGCTTTTGTTGGACAAGAAGAGCAAAGAGGAAGCCATCAGTGTTTTAGGGCTGACAAAACATGACCATCAAAAGAATTTGTTTTATGCTTACAAGTATGTGTGATTGATTGAGTGTAAATATACTTTCATTATTAACTGTATACAATATTTTGTTGTGTCACTATAAATTTGCAATTAGGTACATGTATTTGATATTCTTTGTATACATATGCAAATGCTTGTGTAACTAAGACTATGGAAATTGAATTTCAGATTGTTTAAGCATTTTCCATCTGAAACTGTCACATGTTGTATGACATGTGACAATATCCATCCAATGGATATAGTCTATCTATGTCAACTTTATCACCAGAAAGAGGCTGGCTATTTGGACCAATTCATGTGTGGCAGATACGAAGACCTTCAGTCATCAAGAAGGTGTGTTATTGTTTATTGATTATTCTGAATGTGTAATATTTACCATAATTTAAACAGAGTTGTCACGACTATAATCACATGAATTACTGTATGCTTTTCTAATATTGTAGGTTAAGTAACTTAAATGCAGAGAAAAGAGTGATTTACACATGGCTACAAACTTTATTGGAAAAGACAAAACATTGTAAACAACTAAAAGATGAGTATGGTAACCCTTGGTAAGTTGCAGTTTTCTTTACGTGAATCCAATTTCTACATTAGGTTAAATAAGAAAAAATCGAGAAGGTGACATTCTATTCCCTGAATATTTTTAGGTTGTTTAATCACACCATAGCATGGGAGGATGAAGCTAAGATAGACTTCCTTCTTCAGACTGCTACAGCAGATCAAGGAGAGGAATGCTTAGAAATCTGTAGAAAAGCAGGGTATGTTATCTTATGCAAATAAATAACTCTATAAATAAAAGTGTTAAACAATGGTCTCTGAGGAAGATTGATTGTATGCTGTTTTACGTCCTGTTTGAGAATTTTTCACTCATATGGAGACGTTACCATATACCAATGAAGGGCTACAAATTTAGACCTTTTCTCAGCACTCAGGGCCATTGAGCAGTGAGGGTTCTCTATTGTGCCAAAGCCTACCATGACAAGGGGCCTCAGTTTTTAAGGTCTCATCATTTTTGCCTTAGTTTTTCCCCAGAGATGACTGCAAAACAATACTTCAACATGTACCATTTGTTTTTTTTTTGCTATAAAAAAACCATGAATAGGATATGTTGTACACTGAGTATTACTGTCTTATTTATATTCTGTATAATATATTGCTACCACAAAAGAAAACAGAATAACAAGCCTGATCATTGAATGAACATTGATACATAAGTACATGTATCTAAAAACTAAAAAAAACTACGGAGGAATTCCGAATGAATTTATAAACTAAAGTAGGATAAAGATAAATATTTCTATCAGAAATATTAATTTGCCAGATTGGACAAGAGGGTGGATAATTTCCACTTGCCCAAACTGAGAATTTACTTGCCCCAGGCAATGGGACAACCATTGATGTCTGTGCACGAGGATTATTTTTACCAAAAAGGAAAAAATATCCCTCATATGGAATTATGATATCGAGAACATTTCACATTTGGGTAAATTTTGTGAATTTTTTGCTTGCAGAATCATGAAAAATTACCCCCATGTGATTATTTCCACATGTACAGCAGTATGTTCAAGTGAACAAACTTCAGAAGATTTTAGTTGATGCAATTTAGTTCCATGTGAATATTGTATTTTTGTAATATTTTACATTCAGTTATAAGGAACTAACAAAACTTTCTGTTTTAATGAGATCATGAAGTTTCTGTACATGGACATGTACATTATGTGAACCTATGTATTCAAATACATGTAGTCCTTATGTGCATAAATGAAAAGTCTTTAGAGACATAATTATTGATTTCAACTTTACTTATGTAATAGTTACTGGAGAGGGTGTCTGTTGTTACTGAAAAGGCAGCATAAGTGGAATGAAATGGTGACCATAGTCTTTTGTTTGGGAGATCTCCAGTTAATTCATGAGCTGGGTAAGTATTGGTATCAGCTTTCAAACTCACCTGAGCTGCAAGTTCAGATTTTTTTCTGTTACAAGAAAAGAATGTCCCTTTGCTCATCCATCTGAATTAACAAAACATCCTTGAATGAACAGATATCATATTTGTCTCAAAATTGAAAGGACAATATCCACTAATAAGGGGAGAAAACAAAGGAATAGTGAGCTCTGGGTTGGGTGATTTAAGAATTCTTGAAGATTTGTGCAGAAGGAAGACAGAACATTAAAGCTTTTTTTTAATTATGAATATACAGTATGCTTGCAATCATTCAAATGTGCAATTATGCCTATACAGTGTAGATTTAAATTCTTAAAATCGAAAGTCCCTGGGCTAGAGTAAGGCACAAATGGGTTTTACGTAGGAATATGTAGGAAATTTCTTCTTAATCATCTTTTTTCTGAGGATGATGGTGGCACAATTAAAGGAACTAACATTAAGGCAAGCAACCTTAGTCTAAATGGGGAAGAGTCAAATTTATTCAGAGCACTGGGCTTGTGTTAATGTATGAAAAGCATAATAAAAACCTTCAGAGCAGCAGGGCTAAAATTAATCAAATTGATATTCAAGAAACATCCTACATACCGGTATTGATAATATAAAGAGAGCCATGATTTTAAACAGAAGTGTCTAGAATGGAAAAGGTGAAGATGATGAACAGTGATCTATTTCATAAATCCTTTAAACAATGCAAATTCTGAGCAGGGTTAAAAACATGGACCCCTGGAAACACCTGAGTTTAGATCAGGTGCTTAGTAGAATAAAGCATCCCCTGTTGACCAGTCACATCTATCGTGAGTCCTTTGTATTGGTCAGGTAAACAGAGTACTGGTATTTGTAATCAAAATTAGAATAAAAGCAATGGCCTAAAAATTGGTATGAAACATTAGCCAAAATATGACCTAACAAGAGTTTGTATTTGCATACGAGGCCACTATAACAACCATAGAATTTGTCAAATGCTGACTTAAACAAGATTGTTGAAAGCATTCTAGTGTATAACTTTAATGTTCAGAAATATATGCCTTGTAAATGAGTTACATAATATTGTTTAAAAAACAAAAAAAAACTATGTTGTCAAAATGTACTCTTGGCCTACTGGCCTGAAATGCTAATTTTTAGAACTTGAACTTGAAAGCCATCTAAAATCAACTTATTTGTCAGTAACCTGCCTTGACTAAAAAGTTGATCATACTCGGTGCATTCTCTTGCCTACCAAAGCAGCTGGGAAACATAAACACCATATGCAAGTAATAGTGGAATGTTACTATATGAATAAGGGAAAATGACAATGGAAAAGGTGAAGCCATTTGTCATATAGTGTAGTTCTTACATGTAGTAGGCAATAAAAAGATTTGAGAAAGGCTTTAATTTTGTACATGTATTTGTAAGCATCATGTGAAGATTTGGGTCGTGCCAGTAGTGGGCCCCTGGGGTCAGTTTGGTCAGAATAAAAGTGCAGAGTTTTAAAAGAAATAGACACATGTATAAACTTTGTGAAGAACAATGCTACAAATTGTAAAATTGATTTCTCCAAGCACAGGATAACTTAACAAGAGACCCATGGGCCTTGATTTCTGAAATATGACCAGTTCATCTGAGCTAGAACTGAAACTCTGGACTCATGTGGCACGAATTTCTGTGTTGTCTCTGTGTTCACTTATTATTTAAGTTTGTTCCTAGATGATTAGAAAAGAAAAGATTTCCAAAAGATAAATTGCTTATTAAATATATCATCAATTTAGCTTCGGCAAAGGGTATTCAAACTATTATGAATTTATTAATAAAAAAAACTAAGGTGACCATTTTGGTCCATGGGCCACTGAATGAGAATTTTACTTAAAAGATAACTGAAAAGAAGGAAGAAAACAAGCATCTGTCAACTCAAAACAATTGACTCTAATTTCAGAATTGCTTCCAGAAACAGTAGAAGAATGGAAATCCTTTACAGAATTATTTCAGATTTATTATGACATGCATAACAAACTTCATCATCCTGCTGGAGATAGAAAACAAGATAAGGACTTGGTCTCATCAGAGAGGAGCTTGCCAGAACAGACAGAATGTGACTCAAATCTGCAAATGCACACAGAGAACAGTAAAAGTCTGGTAAACAAAACTTCAGTCAGTGAGAGCACGCATGAACAAACTTCTAATGTTAGTGTGGATAGTAAAGAAACCAGTCAAAGAAGTAAGTCCTTTGGTGAAGAAATGGTGATAAATTGTAGTGACCGGTGTATCTCATGGAGTGATGTAGCCTTTCTGATGCTGCAGTATATAGATGTGTCAGTTTGTGTGGGTATTTTGTCAGGGATAGATATCCCAGAGGGTCGTGTGAACCAGTCTCTTTACCAGTCCAGTATTACTACAGCATTAAAACACAGACAACAAAGGTACATTTACTTAATACTTCACAGGAAAACAAGTTTTATGTTGTTCAGAAACATAAATTCACCATTACCTTATTGCCTGTGCTAATATGAATGAATGCTAAATAATTTGTTTCTGTTTATGGAATAAAGTTTTCGAGATTGTTTACCTTGTGTATGTTTGTTTACATACAGAAATATGTTGCACAACCTTCTAGAGAAGATAGACTCTTATCTTTGGGCCAGGAAACCAAATACACTTATGCCTGAGGTTAGTGAACAGAAAACATAAGCATTCATTGTAAAGTTGCTGAAGTACCATATCTTTAAAATAAATGAGCACTGAATAATTTGATATTTATTCTCTAGTTGCAGTTTGCTATTTCTGTGGAAAGAAAATCAAAGGGATTAAAGAAAGGAAGATCTACAGATCATCTGGTGAGATTACTGTAAAAAAAGGGGGGATGGGGGTAAATCACAATGTTTATCTTTTTAGCTCACCTGAGCCGAAGGCTCAAGTGAGCTTTTCTGATCACATTTTGTCCGTCGTCCGTCTGTCCGTCCGTCCGTCTGTCTGTCTGTCCGTCTGTCCGTCTGTAAACTTTTCACATTTTCGACTTCTTCTCAAGAACCACTGGGCCAAATTCAACCAAACTTGCCACAAAGTATCCTTGGGTAAAGGGGATTCAAGTTTGTTCAAATGAAGGGCCACACCCTCTTGCAAGGGGAGATAATTAGGAATTAGTGAAAAAATAATGGCTTCATTTAAAAATCTTCTTCTCAAGAACCACTGGGCCAGGAAAGATGAAACTTATGTGGAAACATCCTCAGGTAGTGTAGATTCAAGTTTGTTCAAATCATGACCTCCGGGGGTAGGGTGGGGCCACAATGGAGGATCAAAGTTTTACATAGAAATATATAGGAAAATGTCTTTAAAAATCTTCTTCTCAAGAACAGCAAAGCCATGATTGGTCATATTTATATGGAAACATCCTCAGATAGTGTAAATTCAAGTTTGTTCAAATCATGACCCCCGGGGGTAGGGTGGGGCCACAATGGGGGATCAAAGTTTTACATAGAAATATATAGGAAAATGTCTTTAAAAATCTTCTTAAGAACAGCAAAGCCATGATTGGTCATATTTATATGGAAGCATCCTCAGGTAGTGTAGATTCAAGTTTGTTCAAATCATGACCCCCGGGGGTAGGGCGGGGCCACAATGGAGGATCACAGTTTTACATAGAAATATATAGGAAAAATCTTTTTCTCAGGAACAGCAACGCCCAGATTGTTCATATTTATATGGGAACATCCACAGGTAGTGTAGATTTAAATTTATTCAAATCATGACCCCCTGGGATAGGGTGGGGCCACAATGGAGGATCAAAGTTTTACATAGAAATGTATAGGAAAAATCTTTAAAGATCTTCTTCTCAAGAACAGCAAAGCCCTGATTGATCATATTTATGTGGAAGCATCCTCAGGTAGTGTAGATACTATTTTGTTGAAATCATGACCCCCGTGGGTAGGATGGGGCCACAATGGAGGATCAAAGTCTTAAATAGAAATATATAGGAAAATTTCATCTTCTGAAGAACTGCAAACCATGATTAGTCATTTTGATATGGAAGCATCCTCAGGTAATGTAAATTCAATTTTGTTCCAATGATGACCCCCAGGGGTTGGGTGGGGTCCATTGGGGGGTCGAAAGTTTTACATAAGAACATATAGAAAAAATATGTCTTCTCAAGAACAGGAAAGCTATGTTTAGTCGTATTGATATGGAAGCATCCTCAGGTAGTGTAGATTTAAGATCAAATGATGACCCCTGGGATAGGGAGGAGCCACAATGGGGGATCAAATTTTTACAAAGGAATATATGGGAAATTTTTTAAAAAATCTTCTCAAGTACAACAAAGTCATTTGTTATATTGACATGGAAGCATCATCAGGTAGTTTAAAATTCAAGACCCTCCCCCCCCCCCCCCCCCCCCCCCGGTTAATCATTTCAATACTGAACTGATTTGTGCTTTTGCCTAGCCAATGTGCTCAGGTGGTCGATGTGGCCCATGGGCCTCTTGTTTGCAAATAAAATCAAAAATCTGACAAATACGATCTCTTCCGAAGTCTTTTATTTAGCATTTCTGAGTACTGATATAATTGCCATACTTTCCAAAACTTTGCACGGACAGTTTTTGTAGACCCATCATTTTTGCCGAAAAATCGCCATTTTTTGTGTGTGTGCGCATGCGCGGACTCGATTTTCGGAGTCTTTTTCAGTCTCAATTTCTTACTTCCGGAAACGCTGTTTTTGGAGTTCGTCTAGACTGATTATTGCAGAGTTATTTGTTGCTCATTTTTTTATGACTAAAACACCATTCTTTACGGTTTCCTCACATAATTTCAAAATAATTTTATCTATAGGCTAGGCATTACAGGGATAGCCCATGTCAAATGCTAAAATAACAATTTTACTTATCTAATTTGTTAAGAAATTATATGAATTTGGAGGTTAGAAATTTTTGTCTTGATGATTGATTCAATGAAATCATGGAAATTGAGCTAAAATTGACCCTACACTAAGTTTTTTTTTAATAATTTTTAGCTCACCTGAGCCGAAGGCTCAAGTGAGCTTTTCTGATCACATTGTGTCTGTAGTCCGTCTGTCCGTCCGTCTGTCTGTAAACTTTTCACATTTTCGACTTCTTCTCAAGAACCACTGGGCCAATTTCAACCAAACTTGCCACAAAGTATCCTTGGGTGGAGGGGATTCAAGTTTGTTCAAATGAAGGGCCACGCCCTCTTTCAAGGGGAGATAATAAAGAATTAGTGAAAAATTAATAGCATCTTTTAAAAATCTTCTTCTCAAGAACCACAAAGCCAGGGAAGATGAAACTCATGTGGAAGCATCCTCAGGTAGTGTAGATTCAAGTTTGTTCAAATCATGACCCCCGGGGGTAGGGCGGGGCCACAATGGAGGATCAAAGTTTTACATAGAAATATATAGGAAAATGTCTTTAAAAATCTTCTTCTCAAGAACAGCAAAGCCATGATGAGTCATATTCATATGGAAGCATCCTCAGGTAGTGTAGATTCAAGTTTGTTCAAATCATGACCCCCGGGGGTAGGGCGGGGCCACAATGGAGGATCAAAGTTTTACATAGAAATATATGGGAAAAACCTTTAAAAATCTTCTCAAGAACAGCAAAGCCATGATGAGTCATATTTAAATGGAAGCATCCTCAGGTAGTGTAAATTCAAGTTTGTTCAAATCATGACCCCCGGGGGTAGGGCGGGGCCACAATGGAGGATCAACGTTTTACATAGAAATATATAGGAAAAACCTTTAAAAATCTTCTCCTCAAGAACAGCAAAGCCATGATGAATCATATTTAAATGGAAGCATCCTCAGGTAGTGTAGATTCAAGTTTGTTCAAATCATGACCCCCGGGGGTAGGGTGGGGCTACAATGGAGGATCAAAGTTTTACATAGAAATATATGGGAAAAATCTTTAAAAATCTTCTCCTCAAGAACAGCAAAGCCATGATGAGTCATATTTATATGGAAGCATCCTCAGGTAGTGTAGATTCAAGTTTGTTCAAATCATGACCCCTGGGGGTAGGGCGGGGCCCCAAAGGAGGATCAAAGTTTTACATAGAAATATATGGGAAAAACCTTTAAAAATCTTCTTCTCAAGAACAGCAAAGCCATGATTGGTCATATTTATAAGGAAGCATCCTCAGGTAGTGTAGATTCAAGTTTGTTCAAATTATGACCCTCGGGGGTAGGACGGGGCCACAATGGAGGATCAAAGTTTTACATAGAAATATATAGGAAAAATCTTCTTAATAACAGCAAAGCCCTAATTGATCATATTGATATGGAAGCATCCTAAGGTAGTATAGATTTAAGTATGTCCAAATCATGACCCCTGGGGGTAGGGTGGGGCCCCAAAGGAGGATAAAAGTTTTACATAGAGATATATAGGAAAAATCTTTAAAAATCTTCTTCTCAAGAACAGCAAAGCCCTGATTGATCATATTTATGTGGAAGTATACTCAGGTAGTGTAGATTCAAGTTTGTTCAAATGTTGCCCCCCTGGGGTTGGGTGGGGCCACAATGGAGGATCAAAGTCTGAAATAGAAATATATAGGAAGATTTCTTCTGATGAAGAACTGCAAAGCCATGATTAGTCATTTTGATATGGAAGCATCATCAGGTAGTGTAAATTCAATTTTGTTCAAATGATGACCCCCGAGGGTAGGGTGGGGCCCAATAGGGGGATAGAAAATTTTACATAAGAACACATAGAAAAAATATTTCTTCTCAAGAACAGAAAAGCTATGTTTAGTCATATTGATATGGAAGCATCCTCAGGTAGTGTAGATTCCAGTTTGTTCAAAGGATGACCCCTGAGATAGGGAGGAGCCACAAGGGGGGATCAAATTTTTACAAAGGAATATATCAGAAATTTTTTTTAAAATCTTCTCAAGTACAACAAAGCCATTTGTTATTTTGACATGGAAGCATCATCAAGTAGTTTAAAATTCAAGCCAAAGGTCTGATGGACCACTGATTTCCCATCTTTTGATTTGTCATATTATGGTATGGGTTTCCAATATGTCTGACCATCTTGTCTGCTTTTTAACTCACCTCAACAAAGTTGGGGGAGCTAATGTAATACTGTTGGCATCCCAGGTTAAATTTTTTGGAGAAGATTTCTTTTCAAATACTTCTATGCCTCATATTGATCAGAAATGCATGGATGATGCTTTATGTTTCATTGTACCAGTCAGGTTTCAGATGCTGCATTTCCAGCCAAAGAATAACCAAGTTAATGTTTTTGGAATAGGTTCAAGTTTTTGGATCAGGTCTTGTTTTCAAGTAACTATAAGCCCTATATTGACCAAACTTGCATGGATGCTGGATCTGACCTACATTTTCAAAGTGACTGACCAGCTTAAAGTTTTTGGAGCAGATTCATTCTAAGGTAACTATAAACCCTATGTTGACCAAACTTGCATGAATGATACTTCTGTTGATGCACACTACCAGACTTGCTTTGGATGCTGGATTTGACCTTACATGTATTTCTGGATGAGTGACCAGGTGAAAGTTTTTGGAGCAGATCCGTTACAAATAAACCATAAGGCTTACCTGAACCAAACTTGTATGGATGATGCATCTAGGGATGCGTACTATCAGACTTTCTTCAGATGCTGGATTTGACCTACATTTTTCAGACCAGTGACCAATTTAAAGTTTTTGGAGCAGGTCTCATTTCCAAGTAACTATATAAGCCCTTTATTGACCAAACTTGCATGGATGATGTGTCATAGGATGCACACTACCAGACTTGCATTTGATGCTTGATTTGACGTGCATTTTCCAGGTTGTAGTTTTTAGAGCAAGTCCATTCTCAAGTAACTGCAAGCCCTACCTGGACCAAAGTTGCTTAAATGTTGCATGTAGGGATGCACAATACTAGATTATTTGTTAAATGTGGGACTTATAGATAATATATGTTGAGGTGAGTTTTATCATCTTTGATTAGGCCATTCCAAGTTTTTTCTATGTTTAGCGTCCACGTGCGCTTCGGTTTTTGACTCCCAATATCAGGGGGAAAAAAACAGAATCAGGAGTCCTGAAAGTGATTATTCTGCTTGGAATCTTTTAATTCTGTCATTTTCTCTAGTGATCTGTCTACAATATGTCATATTAGATATATTTTAAGCATTTCATACATGTATCTTGATTTTGCTAAAGAATAGACCTTTCTATGAGAAAAATATATAATTGAAATCAACTTCTTTGAATGACGTCATTATCATGACTATAAAATCTGTGTTTTATTTTTTGACTTGTTTTTTGCGAATAGGTAGGTAGGTTTTTGAAAGATGGGTGGACGCTAAACAGAGAAAAAAATTGGAATGGCCTTACCTATGTTGAACTTTTTTTTTCTTTCAATAACAAAGATAGCTCTTGCATGCTTTTCTGAACATCATAGAGAACCTTAGGTCCGTTATTACAGAAACTTTATTCCAGTGTAGTCGCAAATGACAGGTTCACAATTTGTGACTATGAGTATGCATAAATAGATCTGCATCATTCAAGTAATTTCAGATAGTGTTCCAAAGGGGTGCCCTTTATTTTCAATAATTCTTCACTAGTTAACTGGATCTTTAAAACAAGCATTAGACCAGGAGGATTGCTATGATGACCTGATGTCTAGAAAAATTTTAAGAAAAGTTTTATTTCTACACCAGACATGTTTTGGTATTGAGTTTAAAAAAAAAAAATGCAAAATTTAAAC